CACTGTCAGAAAATATAAGGATTTATATCTGAAAAATAACTAAAATGTATTATTAGTTCTATTTGTTTCTTTAACATTTCTGAAAAAAGAAAAGATATTTTTGATCTAAAGTTTAGTATTTTTGTTCTATAAACTATTAAAATAGCTTTAATTGATCATAAATAGTTTATCTTATTATTTTTTCTTACCTAATAGGATTAAAAATTTGCAGGAATTTACAAATTTTGTTTCTTTCAAAACTTTCTTAGATATTTCATATTATTTTTTTAATATTATCAAGGAATGCTAATGGAAAAAAAATTTCGTAAATGAAAAAAAAAAAAAAATTGAAACTGTTGCTAAATCCCGTTTAAATATTTGAATCAGCCTCAGAATCTGCTAGTATCGCAATTCTTATCCTGGCGATTCGATTTAAAAATCGTGCATCGCAATTCATATTCCCGCTATTTAAAAATTTCATGTCGCAATTTGTTTTTACATGTTTTTAAAACTCAATATCGCAATTCGTATTCTTTTGAGTTTAAAATCCATTGTCACGATTCATATTCACGCGGTTGTAATATCAAACATCGATTTTCGTATTTATACGCGATTTCAAAACAACGAATTGCAATTTAAAGTCACGCGATCTAAAAATATGCATCGTGATTCGTATTTACACGGTTTAAAAATTCAATATTGCAATTCGTATTTTCGCGTCTTCAAAATCCAAAATCGAGTTTCATATTCATGCGATTTTAAAATTCAATATTACGATTCTTCTAAGAAGTTAATTTTTTTCTTGAATTAGTTACTATAAGGCTATGATATTCTTTATTACCAGGTAATTTATTTCTAAATGTTAGTTCCAAAAAATATGTTAAATTTGAAACATATAAAATTTTCAGGAATTTTCTCTTTGTGCCGATCACCACTGAGTTAATCAATTATGACTATACATAAATAATTATAACAATAATACAATATACATATCTACTGATAATCAGTGTGATATTTATTTCCCTTTAGCTTTGTTTTTTCACAAACTTGACCATATGCGGTCTTTAGCTGCTTGTTGATCATCTCAGCTCTAAAGTACTACATGGTGCGTAGCGTTTTTAAAAAGTGCTTAAAGGTACTTATTTTCCCTTATCGAAAATGAGATTATTTTCTTTGCCATGTAAATTTTTGCCACGTATTATGCAAAAGCGTGTTTTTCACATTGTTTTATTCAACATCTTCACAATTCATTCAAACGCAATCCATTTCGGCGTACCGTCGGTTCATTGCGTATGAAAGCGCCAATCATTTTACATGTTTGATGAAATACTTGCAAGTCTGCATGGGTTCTGTGAGATTATTGCACTCTCATGTGTAACTCTGCTGCATTTTGCAATACATTCTCAATTTCAGGCTTCATTTTCCACACTCTGGTATCGAACCGAAAAATCTCTTGATCCTTTTATAGTGGATATTATAATCAAGAAGAAGAATTCTTTGTCATAAACTAGTTATTTTATCATGATCATGTAAAGTCTTGAAAAAATATTTTGCATTTTGTTAATATATATGGTGCTTAAAAAGTATTTAAAGGGTGCTTATTTTTTGTTGAAATATTTGGCTATACACCCTGTACTAGTTCAAAGAAAGATGATGTAGCTGACGACTGGGCTCAGACATAGAATATTGTCTTATTTTAAGTAGCCAGTTTCAGGTTAACAGTATACTCTCCCAAAGTGAGCATGAGACAGATGCTGTTATTTCTGACCACCTATCTCAACTGGAAGTAAAATACAGAGAATTAATAGTTTAAGAAAGCCTACTCTGGCAATCATTTTGGGCAATAAAGTAGTATTTCATATTCTTTGATACATTAATTATTATTTGAAGAAAAAGAAAAACAGTATCTATCTTAATGCACAATAATGCTTTCTATCATAGTTGGTCACAATTAGTTACCAACTCTACACTGACAACTATAATTGTTACTTAGTAACAATTATAGCTGTTACTTAGTAACAATTATAGTTGTCAGTGTAGAGTTGGTAACTAACTGTGACCAACTATGATAGAAAGCATTATTGTTGGTTACAATTAGTTACCAACCGGTAGAAACTGTAGCTGTCAGTGTAGAAGAGATAGATCTCAATATTTTTTATATTTTCCATTAAATTTATTTATTCGTAAAAGGCTAAACTGGGTAATATATCACTTTCAGAAGTTTTACTAAAGAGAATTTGATTATTAAATTCTGTTATTCTATTTCTGTTTTCATAACTAAGACAATAAATAATTTTTTATATTGAAGCAAGTGAAAAACAAAACTGAGGTTATTTCATGGAAATGATTTTTGAGAAACTTATTTTTACACTTTCTGAAATATTTCTATAAACATATAATATACAACCATAATGATTCATTTTAAAAATATTTTATATTTGTTTTTTTATTATTATTATTTTCTCTTTTTATTAAAATAAGGTTTAAGATTTTCGTAACTCATGATTATTTCTTCATTTCTCATAGGGAGATAAAAAGGTGAGTTGATTTGGACTAAATATTCCATACGAGATAAGTGACTTTTAATTTTGCAATTTAGGCGAAAGCAATTCAAATTCTTATTTATTTCATTTTCTTCGTCCTAAGGACGTCCATTCAATTTTGTTAAATGCTTCTGTATTTTATATTTGATTGAAAATTAGAAAAAAATTGAAGCTGGTTATATTTCGTCTGTTTTTGTTTTTTTAGATTGGTTTTAATTTTCTCATCCGTTCCTTTTCTTTTGCTGAAAAATGAAATTAAGAATAATCTAAGCGTGCTAATTAGATTCGATCTTCGGAAAAAATTAGAAACTTGCTATAGATGCTATAATTTAAAGGGGCATAAATAGCAGATTCAATGCAAAAATTAGAGAATGGCTATAGATGCAATACAATAATTGGACATAAATAATAAATTCAAAGCATTTCAAATCGTTTTTACTTTTGTTGCTGTGTTCTGAAATTGTCATCAAAGTTGACTTATTTATTTTGTTTTTTACTCAAAGGAGGTGTTATTTTTAGCAAAAAGGCAATTTGAGGCCGCTTTTAGTGCTTTTTAAAGAATAAAAAACTTGCGTAGATAAGCTAGTTTTATACATATTTATCCAAATTTCTAACATTGAAGAATATAAGTTTTCTTATGATCATTTGAGTTTTTTATTTTCACTGATGCAATGCATTTATTAATTTTCACAGGAGGAAAAAAAACCGGGGGAGGTGAGTGCTTTGTGCTTTCTTTAACATCATTGGGGGCTGAAAATGAATTTCTCAAAAGGTGGCAAAAATTGGCGAACAAATGCGCTTTCCTATGTTGCACTTGTTGTTTGTATAATAACTAATTACAAAATGTTCTTTGTAATTCTACAGTAAGATTTTCTGTAGTTGGAAAAAACTGTCAAATGGCTGGTGCTTACAGTGCTCTATTTTAGTCGCAATTTTTTACGTCAGTATTGTTATCAGAAAAAAACTCGTGTTAAGTAATATTTCGATTTGCAACTGCTATGCTCTTTATAATTATAATATAAAGCTTTAAATCTTTGCTTTGTCTGGTTGTGGCTAGTGTGTTTTACTTTCTGATTCCTCGCGCTGTAATCAAGCTGCTATAGCCCATTCTGTTGACCTAGGACTATTGGAAACTTACTTACACAAAGTAATTCTTTATTTCTGAGTGTTCAAACATGTTAACCTAATATTTTCTCAATTATGTATAATGAAGTTTATTTTCTTTTTCTATGCTTAATTATGGTAAAAATTTTACATATTTAATAGATTTATTGATAAAAAGGTAAAAATCTTTTAACAAGTAGCTTTATAGTTTACTAAATATGATATAAGTAATTTTATACATTTATGCGCAAAGAAAGTCCTCTTAATGTTTTGATTTGTTAAATTGCTTCCTATTATATTTTTACATTATTCTATTTGTGACTCACTAAATAGATGTTTATGTGCCAAATCTAATTACCTTTTATGGATATAATTATATTTGAATTTTAATAATTCATTTACATAATCTTATTTTTATATTTGTAAGATTTTTTTTTTTGCAATAAATGGTTTTCTATTCAGTGAAATTAACCTGATGATATCTGAAAATTTGAGTACTAAAAAAAGTTTGTTTTTTTACCCTATAATGCTTATAGCTTATATTTAGAGTAATTTTTTTAAACTAAAAAAAAATTAAAACCGTAAAATTTTCAATTGTTGAATCTTATTATCTGTGTCTAATTTTTTTCTCAGAAATGTAAATAAAGTTGTTTTATTCAAAGTATAAAAATGTATTCATTTTCACACATGTAATTCAACTAGCGTTTTTATTCTATTTTAAGCAGGATCATTTTCATTATAAATTGTAAAAAATGGGTACTGGTTTAATTTGAGAACAAATTACTTGAATGTGTTGTTACTAAATATTTAAATATAATAATTTCCATTCATGCACCTACTATTATCTTGTAAACATTTTATTTTCTGTTAAAACTAAATTCAATTTCGCAAGATTGGAAATTTTAAATTATCACTTTTAAGTTTTTATTTCACTTAGTTTACTCATACTTTAAGTAAAGATAATGTTTTAGTTTGCTTTAAACCATGGTTCAAGCGAATGTTTTCTAACATTCATCTGATCATGTAAGTTTACTCTCTGCTTTTTATCTTATATATTGTATTCTTGTAATTTGGAATTTTCATTATGAAATATCAAATCTTGTATAAACTGCAGCTGCAAGCAATAATATAATTAAAAGTGCATGATCAAGTTGCATATTTGACATCTGAACTTTTATGAAGCTTCTAGTTTCATTTTGCTGCTTGCATGTTTGATGCAGTTCAAAATCCACTATATATTTATAATACTTATTGCTTATATAACTATGCCTATTTGCAAGCTAATAACTTTATTTTGCTGCCATGTTGCCATTCAACGAGGATTCATGATTTGGGATTTATTTTCTCTCTGTGTTCTTAATGTTTTCTATATAGACAATTCTTGCAACACAGATCAACTTCTTCAATGTGGGGTTTTTGAGGCTATTTCGTGCAGCTCGTTTGATAAAGCTACTGAGGCAAGGCTACACTATAAGAATCTTGCTGTGGACTTTTATACAATCTTTTAAGGTCAGTATATTGTAATGTTTTTGTTTTTTTCACTGTTAATAATTTGTCACTATTTCATATTTTCTCTCCTTTATAAATACAGTATAGTAGAGTTCTGATTACCGTGACAAAGGTCCACCTGGATAACAAAAAATTTGGGTAATCGGACAACTTTAAAAAAAGACTATGAAAATGCTTTTAAGTAACTTACCTTCACATTTTTTCCAGGCTTAGGATTGACAGTTGTACTAGCACCAATTTAGCATATTACAAAAAATGTTTAAAAGCTTTGATTTTCTTTTTCTTTTTTAAGTTTTACTAGAAACCTGTACCCTTATCAGAAACTACATTGAAATTAGGTGGAAAGAAAATGAGGTTCTTTTCAAGGTCAACGAGGGACAAAACATCCATTTTAACCCCTTTTAAAATTACCCCTTTTCAATATAAAAAAGAAGTTTTTTTTTTTTCTGAAGAAAGTAGAAAACAACTGATTGTGCTTGAATGGTCCTAATAATTAGACAATCTGGTAAAACAGTGTTTTGATAAAAGGCGCACTACTGAACTTTGAACAAACTGTTCTTATATTTACATTATTCTTTGATAAGAACATAAATTTTATTTTATTAATTCTTATAGAATAATGTTGAATCACACAACTAAATCCCTAACTTAAAATATCTGTTAAAAATTTATGCTTTGCATATAATATCTGTTATATAGTTATATCTGGCAAAATTCCAAGTATATTTTTAAATAAATTAAATTAGCTTTTTAACTGAAATCTTTAAATATTTTTTTAATGAATCTTTAAACATGTTATGTGTACAATAATTTTTGATACTGTTATTAGGCAGTGATTTTCATTTAAAAAAATAATGGCTATTATTATGACCTTATTCCAAAGTTAAGAAAACCTAAGCAATTTATATTCTGGCAACTTTCAAAATGCATTTTTAAATAAATAATTTTTTTTTCCTCTTTGAAATAAATTGCTTTTTTTAAGTTGTTTTTTGTATCTTTCAATTATGTAATGCTAAGATTATTTTCTGAGAAATTTACGTAATAATGTTTAGTGAGCAAAAAAAATAATAATACCGCTATAAAATTTGAATCATTGGTGAGTATTATGTTTGTACCTTTCCCCTTATTGGCCAATCTATGTGTTGTAACATGTTTTAATTTTTCTTTGTTGTATTTTTCTTCACTCATTCAACAAGTGGGTTGACACTGACGAAATTGCTTAATTTGCTACTTAATTTGTTGCTTAATTTTAACTAAGTTGACATTGCTTAATTATGATGATGAAACAATCACATGTTTATTATATATGATAATTTTTTAGCTTTTTTAAATTGTTTTAATATTTGCACTTTCTTACAGTTAGCATTAATTTTGTGAGTTCACAATTAATGTCTATCTTGAAAATTTTTATAATGAAGTTCCAAAATTTGTTGATAGTATTGACCTAAAATATTTATCATGAAAACAACGTGGAAAAAAAATTTAAAAATAGGAATTATTAATTTGAAACCTTAAATGGAATTAAAAATTAGTTTATAATCTTGAAACCTTTTGCTTGCATTCTATTTCAGAATCTAAAGAGTATTTCTTATTTTGTTTGCAGGCTCTTCCATATGTATGTTTGCTCATTGCTATGTTATTCTTCATTTATGCCATTATTGGAATGCAGGTAGGTAATCAATTTTATTTTATAAACTAAAATTATTTTTAAAATGTCAATTTTACCTTTCTTTATTCTTACTCAACTGAACTATTTTGTTTCAATAGTGTTTAAAAACATCAATTTTAAATTTCAGATCATTGTTTTAACTGCTTAAAATATCTAAAGAGTGAAATATCTTGTAATTCAATTCTTTAAATTCTTATTTTGCATTTATCAGGGGCATTTATTACTTTAATTGAAAACAAAATACCTTTTTATTTAAAAAAATTTATGTATTTTAACAAAATTAATTTAAATAGCCTTCTCTGGAGAAGCAATTCTTTTTTGTGAACTTTAGGTACTGTGTATGTTCAGTCTGCATACTTCACATTTGTACTAAAGACCGTTAGAGGTAACCCGAAATAGGATTTCATTGATAGTTTTACAATTTTCCTCCTACACTACTTTGTCTGCTTTTCTATTCCAACATTCTCATTCTTTCTTCTTTTTTTTTCTTTCTATTTTTACACACTTAAAACTGTCAAGCTCATCATTTCAGAAATAAAAATTACTTGATTGTTTCATTTTTTTAATGAATAATAACTTGAAAAAGAAACTATTTTCAATTAGCTATATCATTGTGAAAAATTCAGAGCATCATGTAAAAAAAATTTTACTAATGCGTAAAAATGTCTATAATTGTAACTTTATTTTCATTTGTTCTATAAAATCAAAATGAAAATTTTGGTATAGAATACCCACTTGAGCCTTTAAATATAAAATTTAAAACTAAAATTGTTTTATTATTCACTGATCAATTCTCCTGTTCTCAATATTTTTTCTATCTACAATACATGAGCTCAAAACTAATTCATTCATTTTATGTATCATAACTTTATTTATACTAATCATTAAATGTCTTAAGTGAAATCCTTTTGAAGTTAGCTTTACTTTATAACCTATTCATTAAAATATTAATTGTACTTGTATAAAATTTGTGTTCAAAATAAACATTTAGCAGACTTTCATGATTTTAAAACCAGTTACAAATTTACAAGGTTTTTTTTACGTCACAGCTTTCTTAACACAATGAGTGCCACATATCTTCTACTAATCTTCTTATTCTTCCCTCGGGATATATATGTCTTCAGAGGATTTATTTTCTGTAAATAAACATGGATTCTGTGATACTCAAATTCCCTCACGTGACCTCATGTTCTTTCCTTTTTCCTTCCTGTTCATTTGTCTGCTCCTTTTTTTTTATTTAACATTAGATATAGTTTCCAACTCTGATTAAATATGTCGCTTCATGAATGTAATCAGGGGTTGATTGTATTCCAGGTGTACCCCGGAATTCTAGGTTTTTTGTATCATTCCGGGTCTAAGATCAGGGCATGTGACTTTCTCGCGAAATTCAACACATCTCAAGATTATTGGTTCGCTGACTTTCACGCAAAATTTTCACAGAGTTCCGCTATCTAAAATTTAAATTTTGAAACTTTCGCTATATCCCGTTAACGAGGCGTTTGCGTATATACGATTCTTCCGCCAATTGGCGTAGATCCACCAATTTTATTCCTTTAATTTGACGGATTTTCGCCGTTTTGAATGTTTGGAACTGCGCCGGAATCCGCTAATATCGCGATTCATATTTGCGTGATTTTAACATCACACAACGATTTTTGTATTTACCATATTTAAAAACTCTGTTTTTATTCGTATTCACACATTTAAAAATCGCACATCCCGATTTAAAATTTAAATTGTATCGCGATTTCTATTTACATGTTTTTGAAATCAAATGTCACAAGTCGTATTCACACGATCTAAAAATTCATCAATGTTGACAGGTTCATATCATATCCGCAGGTCACCGTTGAGGGGTATAAGTATTTACCTTCTTATTTAAAATAGCTTTTGGCTCTTTTTAAATGTGTAGCCATTTTAATGTAATTCTTAAAGTTTGTTTATTCTGAAATAAGTACAGTGCAACCTCATCTAACTGCTGTACCATTAAACGTAACATCCAATCAAACCTTTTTATTAAACAAAATTGCAAAAGATAACACTGTCAAATCCAGTGTATAAAGATAGTTATTTATTTCTTATGGGTCAATATGTAGGTTTTCTAGTCCTGGATATAACCTTATGTATGTAATACTTAAATTTTTTTGCTCTAATGATAGTGATAATACCTAAAGGTGATGAATCCAAAGTACAATGGAAGGTATTTACCTTTTTGCATCATGAAATGAGATGCACAGTGATAAATTTTGTTTCTAATCAATACATGCTGAATCTATCATTCTCTGATAAATGGCGTGGCACTTGATGTGTTAAGAATCTCTTAATTCTGTTTCATTTGCATTTCTAAATTATGGATGAAAATATATTCTATGATTCTTGTGCTATTTTCAGTTTACATATGTGATTGTATATTAATTGCTGTGAAATAAAAATTAATTCAATTAATTTTATTTCTTTAACAGAAGAACTGTAACACATTTGAATTAAATTCACTTGTTAGTAATTATCATTTACATTCACTTAAACTGTTGATAGATAATTTAGGTCATTTAATATTTGATATACCTCTTCAACATTTGCACATTTGTTGAAACTTATATTAGTCATTCTTTACTAAAAAACTTTTTATGAAATATTGTTTTAAATAAAATTTAGTTTTGAAAAATTAATAAAGTTACTATGTCATTATTTGAAAAGTAATGCATTGGTTGAAAATTGCATTAGTTTTCAACAGAAATATTCAGCATTCTCTTCACTTTTTAACCATTATTTATTTTTTACAACCTTTATTCATTTTAATTTCGTCTTAGACATTTTACTTTTACCTTCCTCTCTTTCTCTTTCTTCTGCTTTTGTTTATTTTATACCTCCTTCAAATGCTTTTAATTTCTTATGACAACAGACTATCTAACCATCAATTTTATCAAGAAGATTTAGTGTATTGTTTGCAATATGTGAGGTATTGATTATGAAATGTTTGTCTCTTTCTATTTGTAGTCTGTTTTGAAAATTATGCTTGCGGTAAAGATGTTGAGTGTTAATATAGTTTTTATTGCACAATTTGCAATTTTTTTAACAATATTTTCTGTATTTTATTATATTCTGTGAAGACAACTGGAAAAATATTTTAAAAATCCTGTCTGATTTTTTTTTTTTTTTTTTTAATTATACTGTTGTAATGAAAACAGCCACGAACTACAAAATCTTAAATTATACAAGAAATTGGATCTGAAAATAGGGTATATTTTCAAACAAATCTGTGAAGTTGAATTAGTTGTAATAGAATTAAAATAATGCCATAAATAATTTATACCAATAGGTTAATTTTTATGAGTTGATGGTAAGCTTTAAAAATTGTCCTTAAAATTGGATTTTGGGCACTAAAAGGTTAAGTATTCTTAAACTTCATATTAAAGATCAATAATTTATGTCATGGACTAATTTAACTTTAGATACTCAAGGCATGTACTTAATTCTCACTCTTTTCAGGTATCCTAAACTGCTTTTAATAACAGAAGTCAGGGAATATTTGTAAGGGAAAAATTATTAAATCCACTTGAATATATTAGAAAAAATATTTTGAATCTTTTAGAACATTTTAAAATGACCCATAAATCTAGTTTTATAGTATTTGAAAATCATTAAAAAGGGAAATAATATTTGTAGAAAAAAAGTAGACAATATCTCTTAATTGATATTTGTTTATTGAAAAGTTAAGACAATTTCTCTTAATTAATATTTATTTGTTATGTAAATCATCTTGTGAAGCCTTCCTAGTGTTATAAATTAGAAGCTCCACTCTTATATACTAATTAAGAGCATGGCAAACTTTTCATCTGTTATTTCTCCTTCCAAAAAAAAAACCCCAGTTTTGTTTCTTATTATTTAAATTAAAAAATTGTGTACTGAGAAAATTTTTTTTATTCAAACTTAAGTATGAAGCACTAAGTCACTAAATTAAAAATGAGAGTACTTTGTTTCCCCCCATTATTGACACACACATTTCATAATAAATGCCTTAATAAAAGTATTAAGATTTAGATGATTATTGTGCAAAATATACATCAATAACATTGTATTATCTGCTTGATAAAATTGATAACCCTTCTCTTATTTGCTGCTTCAATAATTTCTTAATCTTCCATCTGTTACTGTGTTGTGTTATTCTTAATCTAAACCTATTCTCCCTTGTGTTTGCTGTTCTTTCTACGCCCCTTGCCTTTGAATATCAACGCACAGGTTTTTGGGAATATCAAGTTTGATCCTGATACAGAAATGAACCGCCACAACAACTTCCATACCTTCATACAGTCTCTCATGCTCTTATTTAGGTGAGTCAGCTTCGGCTGAAACACCCAACCACAGCTTTGTTGTCATGATCTGGTAACTGCTAATGAATATCTGACTTCTCAACCTGAAATATAAAAAAAAAACATTTATCAATTTATAAAAATTTATTACTGCACATTTTCTTTCCTTTTTTTTTTTAAGGAAAATAACTGATATCTTAACATGAGTTAAGAAAAAATATCCTATCACTTCACAGAATTACTTGAATAGACATATACAGCTTAAGCCACAAGATTTTTAAATAATTTAACTTAATCCTCCAGCAAAAAATTTGCAGTCTATAAACTATCTTTATATTGCTATTTAACTCTGTATAATCTATTAATAAAAAACTTCCTTCACAATATGTTTCCTATTCATGCTTTCTTGTTTTTAATATGTAACTTTGATTAAAAAGAAAATTTTAGATTTGATTTTATGTGAGTAGTTTTACTTTTTAACCAAAGAAGTTTTGTTTCGTGCTGAAAATTTTAATTTTCCATATAAATTCCCAAACTTTATTCGCATTCATTATTATCGTTGTCATTATATGAGTTGAATCTGTCAACAGAGTTGATGTGAAACATGAGAGATTGTTTTTAAGCAAAATTAATATATAACAAGTTTAAACTATTTACATTTACAGTTTTTGGTCCTATACAGCAATATAAGTCCAGTCCATTTTTATGTTCATTTTATTTTTGGAAATGTATAAATTAAATCTATTAAGAATTAACTGTTCTGATAATTATATTAAGAATTAACTGTTCTAACATTCGACTGTTCTTTTGAAAACCTTGCAATTGTATTTATTTTTGGATGCAGTTTTCAAACATTGGTCCCTTTAGGAAATAAAAATTGAATAAAAACATTTGGTTAATATTACTTTTTTTTTAAAAGATTTAAATTTAAGATTATTTTTTATATGTATCACAATCATTCTTGATACAAAAAAATAAATAAACTTAATGAGGGAAACTTTTTCTTTTTATTTTCATTTTTTACTCATACATACAAAGATAAGTTCCTATGTAAAACGCATGGTTGCTATTATTATATAAAGATTCAATACATGTTTCTTCGTAAGAACAATATTGATGTATTGCAACTATAAATGAATAAAAAATATCAAATTACAGAGTTTGTTATTATACTGGATGTCTATCATTATTTAGTAAATTGCATGCATAGCTCTCCTGCAGTGAGTACATCCTGTAAAAGTAGTTTCTAATCATGGCAACAAAGTACTTTTTAGTGTAGAAGGTAGCATCAAGTTCTCTTAGAGTAGTGAAATAGATTGCATTATTTGTAGATTTATGATTGATTTCTTAAGCATTTCTTTTCATTTTTATATTCATTTTATAGTATCAATTAAGTAGTGTGGAATGAACACTTTATATTTTGGTGGGTCAGTGCATATTTGTAATTTTTTTTTAATTCTGAAATATTTATCTAATTTCTTTTTGAAAAAAAAACGAAAAAGACTTTGAGGGGTTTAAAATTCCTTTTAACATATTCTCCCTCTACATGCCCAGGTATTTGGTAATATTGCTCTGAACGCTGAGATGCAAATTACTCGACATAATAACTTCCGTACATTCCCACAAGGACTAATGCTACTTTTCAGGCAAGTTGTTGTCTCACCTAATTTTTCATGTTGTAATTGGTGTGTGGAGTACCGTTGGCAATTGCACTGCAATTTGCACATTGTTTTTTCAAAACTTTTGCGCCAAAAATTAAATGGCCTGGAGCATGCAACATGTTTCTAAATAAAACAGCTGAAATAAACATGTTTCTAAATAAAACAGCTAAAATAAACATGTTTCTAAATAATACAGCCGAAAATTTTGCCCTTTTAAAATTTAATGCACAATTTTGTCGTTTCTTCTTATAATTGACACAATCATAATTAATTATGAAATTGGATAAAACATCTGAAAACATGATGTTTGTTTTTTCCTTAATGAAGTCTCATGTTTAATTTGTAATTTAAAAATACATTTTAGTTTTATGAAAATACTTTGATGCATTAATTATAAAATTGTAGAAATTTCTAAAATTATATTGTTATGTGTCTCATTGTTTTATCTGCATTAAGTTGAAAGCTTAGCCAATAGAATATCCATTTTTATTGTGTATCTGTTTTGCATAGCCACATAGAATGTCTGAATTTCTAAGCATTAATTTAGTTGCGACTGTAAAAAAAAATTTCAAATTTTAATTGTTTAAAAAAGTGTAGTATCCAGTTCAAGATATTTACTATTATGTATCGCTGATATTTTTTATAAATTTTAAATAAATTATAAAACAACATTAAGGTAATAAATTTTTAAAAAATTTATGTCAAATTTCTGAGAATATTTATATTAATTGTATATTTGTTTAAAATCTATTAATGTATAAAATAAAGCTCTGAATAAGCTAGTTATTGCCTAAAGTTGTATCACAAATATTCAGTTTTTAACACTAAAGTTGCTCGAGACAAATTCTGGTTTAAGGAAATATTATGCAATTTAATATTTTCCGACAGAATTTTGCAAACTAATATCAAAACTATACACACAAAGCATTTTTTTTGGGGGGTGGGGGGAGCTTCAATTTTTATGTGGTATTACTATACAGAAATATGCATTTAAAAAATATATAACGCGTATAAGTGAGGAGAGGACTAAGGGGGACTGATTTCAAAAGTGTTTCAAAAATAATTTACTAATCATTGTTTTGAACTTTTATTTAAATTTTAAAATTTATCTTCATTCTGAATGATACATAAACTAATTTAAATATGTACTTTTTTAATATTCTTATAAATGAAATTGTGTTTTATTTCACATTTGCCTCATGATATGGAATTATATTGCGGAAAAAGTCATAAAGTTTATTATTTTATCTATTGTTGCCTATAAATAAGTTAGTAAAATCGAAATAGTCTTGCATGTAAAATAAGTAATAATATTAATTTGCAGTGAAGTCTAGAGTAAGCAATCTTAATTGTTTATTTTAATTAAAGCTCAATAAATATTAATTTGTAATTAACTTTAGTTCAGTTAGGTAAAAAAAGGATGAATTTGGTTTTTTAGTCTTTTAACAAATCAATATTTTTTAATGTCACCTTAAAGGCAGGGGCATTAATAAAGTTTTGGAAGTACATATTTTACTACTGCTTTAAAAAAATAACGAAATTGAAAAAAATTTTTAAATAAATTAAACAACTTACAAAATTTATCTAATTTAGCAAATAAGTTACATACTGATAACTAACCCACATTAATATCTCGGAAAGCCTAATATTTACAAGTTCCTTGTAGATTAGGCTTATTGTCAATTAATTAAATAAAAGAAAATCATAAGTAACTATACAAAAAATAATCAGCATATTTATTCATAATGTAGTAAGGACAATCGAAAGTGACAATTTAAGAATTTACTTTTCAACCATTAAAACCTTGTTTTTTTTTTTATTTACTATTCAACAAATGTGTTGTTTTTATGTAACTGCACATGAAAGTTTAATTTGCCTATCGCCTAAAATTTAAAGAAAACTTTTGAGCTATAAATAGCAGAAATATTTAAGCTGTCCGTATTAGCTCCGTTTATTCTATCTATAAAAGTATAATTCTTTGATAAAATTTTAATACATTTTAAGAGCTATACTTCTTGAAATTTCTCCTTCCTATTGTTTTTCTATCAATAAAATTTTACACCTAGTCTTAAAATTTATATTTTCGATCGTTTAAGATCGTTTTCTTTTTTTAAACCTATAGAATCAAAAAACTTCGTTGAAAATTATGAAGGATTGGTTTAGTTATTTGTAAATATTTTTTTTAGTTAAATTTCATAACGTTCGTTTCACTTAATGTTTGGTTGTTGAACTATAATTGCTTTATTTTCTTTTTGTAAAATTATTTCTTTTATTTTCCTTTTTAGTCTTTAAAAAATAAATTTAATTAGCCTCTGCTTGTAATACTATTTAAATTCATAGGTGACAGTTTATTAATCAATGTATAGCTGGTTACATTTTATTTTTATTATAATCTTTTAAACTTATTTTAATGGAAGTATATATCGTTTTTATCTAACTTTACTTTCATAAGTATTTTTTCTCACTTTAAACTATATTGTCAGGCTAACAACTGAAATTCTTGAAAACAAAATTAAACTTTCTAAAATTAATTTTAATTTTAAAAAAAATTCGGATATTATTGTTATTTAACTGGTAGAAAAATCTTTGCCAGAATAATTTCTAAGAAACTATTATATTTCTCTATTATATTAGATTGCTATTTCTGTTAACGAAAAATTAATTACATTTTTTATATACATTAAATAAGAAAAAAATAGATAATAAGCTTTATATTAAAGTAAGTTTGCTTTAGTTATTTTTACTTAGCTAAAAAAATTTTAATTAAAATTTTTTATTAAATTTTTTTAAATTTTTATTTATTGAAAAAAATTAAGTTTATAAACATGGTTGCCAGATCAGTGCAATCAATGCAGTAGTATGCTCCAGGTTTAATAAGCTATCACAATGCAAATTGCACACTATCCAAAATTAAAAAAAGCATGCTTGGACTTCAATATCACTGGCCAATACTGTGAAGTTAATATGAAAGTGATTAACCGCCAAATTAATGCATGTGCGCTTCATGTGTTGACACGTTTCATAAAGGCCCTATTTTCATTATAAATGCTTCTCAATGTTGTGTGCATGCACCTGGCATTAAAAGATATCATTGTTAACCTTAACATTGACTCATTATGGCAATATGGGTCAGGCTGCCTTAAAATCTCTATGCTAAAAATACTATAGTAATTTGCGGTGCTAAAACAACACCAGAAATTCATTGTGCTTTTTTTACATGATATAAATCTGATAGCTTTTATTTTTAATTTCTATTGACTAATCTATATAAGGTTTGAAGAAACGGCTTAAAATGGAGGATTTTCAAAACTGAATTTGTCATTAACATTTTCAAATGCAGAATAAATAGAATGAGATTGATTGACCTATATCCACTACTAGAATTTTATTCATTAACTGTAACACTGTTCGTGTATTTTTCAGATGTTTATGATTACTATATTTCTCCAGTTTTCACACATTTTTAATAGTGAAAAGTTACAAGGATCTTATTTTGCCATTTTATAAAATTTAATTTTGATAGCTGCTATGAATTTCAAAGAAATATCTTTATACTCAGTTACTATGACAGAAAATTTAACTCACAATTTTGCTAATTATTGCTTTTTTACTAAGAATTTTGATTCAGTTTCAGAGATTTTTCAATATATTTACTATTTTGTACAGAAAAACCTCTAACTAAATGCAAACAATTTTGCTTGGAAACAATTCTATGGGTTATACTAGCAATGCTATCAGTTTAAAGAGTCAAATAATATTTTATTAGAAATAGAAGAGATAATTATTTAAAATTTAACTTTTCCTTAATATTAGATATCAATTAATATTAAGAAATAATTATAGAGTTATATTCTATAACTATATTTATTAAATTGCTATAAAATATTTATAACCATTGCATTGGCATGGACTATCTTTTCCCAAACATTTTTTTTAAACTGGTAAATTGTTCTATTAAATCTAAATCTATAACGTTGTCCCATATTGTATGAATTTAAATCTAAGCAATGCTTTTGACTTGCTTTTTGTGATAAAAATTTATTTGAATTAAAATCATTATTAAGTTCATTATGCAATTTGCATTTGAGTAGCAATATAGAGAAAAAAAATTTAATTTAATTTTAGCATTTCCTAAAAAATATTTTACTGTTCATAGATATAAGTAAGCAACAAATTTTTTAACTAAAAATTTAACACTTCAATTAAATAAAAAATATAAGATTCTACATCAAGTTTAAAATTAATTGCATCAAGCAAGACTACAATTAAATAAATTTAAGACTACAACAATTTTAAAAATTTTATTAATAAGTCGTATTTTATTATATTTTTAATGAAATTTATTTTACTATTTTTTATTATTACCAATTTCCAATTTGTAATTATTTATTTATTTATTTATTTATTTATTTATTTATATTACCCTAACCTGTNTTTTTTTGCATTGTTAATACCATTCATCATATTTTCATATTAGCTATTATCTATATATTATAAAATTATATTATTGTAAATATAGGTTTAATATACCATTTTAAATAGATTTTTAACACATTGTCTTTTATTTATTTTTTAAACATGTTAAGCCAACAGGAATTGCACATTTTTAAAACTAATTTTTAAATTGTTTTTGTTTTGTTTTATGAAATCATTAAAGAAAAATTTAGAAAATATAATTTTTTATCTTATGAGAACATTTTATTAAATTATAATAATGATGGTTTGAAGAACAGGGTAGAATATTTTAATTTATTATTATTAATAAATCATGAGTTTTTATTTTAAAAAAAACTATTAAAAATTAATGTAGATCTTATTTAAATGAAATGTAATTTTTTTCTTATACTACAATTTGTTAATTTCTTCGGTTTTGTAATTATTCAGTATTTTTATAAACTTATATTAATAGTGGGATTGAAATAAATGATAATGTACAAAATTGAAACTGTAAGTACTGAGTTTAAAAGCTCTCTTATATTCTTTGTTGGTTAATTTTTAGATTATATGAAATTACTTAACTTTTTTTTTTGGGGGGGGGGAATATNAAGGGGGGGGAATATAGAAAAAAAAATTTATCAACTTTTGTTTAACTTATATTTTACTAGCTAGCATTTTAATACATAAAAACTGTGTAAGATGTTAACATAAAGAATTATATTTAAACTTAAACTTTTAAAGAGATATTGCAGGTTGAATAATACAAATCTTCATATTTTAGAACACTGTTAATGGGAAAATTCTATAACACAAAACCTATGGAGTGCACTCTAAGTTATTAAAATTGTTGCCATATTTAAAGAGTTAAAAAATGTAATTTTTAATTGTGAGTGGAGATTTTTTATCTTTCTCTCTTATAAAAATAAGAGATTTAAATATCTATGATATCCTGTATTAATTTTATTATAGCAAACGTTTAATAATTATTTTGTGTGGGAAAATATTATGTAACATTAAAATAAAAATTTAAATGAAGTATGCATTGGGAAATTGAGAATCTAATTAATGCAATGGGGAAAGGACATTAATTTTCTGAAAATAAGAATCTGGAATATTATTATTTGTAACAGTTTTAATCTGAGTCAATTTTGATTCAAAAATACCTTAAATATCTATAAAAAATATTTACCAAATAGAAAATAATGATTTCTTGGGGAAACTGAACTGAATTGTTCGAAAAGCAACTGATCAATAGTTTGCAACTTGAAAGTTAAGCAATTTGAAACCTGCTCAACCTGCTGAATGTTAAAGAGCACACAGAATCTATTTACATCTACATACATTTCCTTAAATGATACAAAAATGATATATATTACATAACATGACGATATATTACAATGAAATTTCTGTTAGATATTATTATTAAAATATTTCCCCGTCCTCATTTGTAGTACTACTAAACAAAGTAATTATATGATACACCATTTTTCTTGGTATTTGCTTTTGAAAATATTGATATTTTTCTTCATTTTCAAATGCAAAAAGCATTAAAACAGTTAACTTTATTAAAACTCACTTCTTTTTTCATGAGCATTAATGAAAGTACATCTTGATCTTAGTAATATTTTCCTCAATCTGACTAGCAATCACTCATTGTGGAAAAATAGAAAATCTGTTGTCAGTCTTCAAAATAAATCTTTGATATTCCCTTTGTTTAATTAGGTTTTCTCATTGTTCCTTAGTTGCATTTAGTCCTATTCAAAGTTACACTTAGGTAAATGTTATAGACTTTCTTTTGGGTAAATTTTCTATTTATTGTTTATATTAAAAATCAATATCTTTTCATAAAAATATTCATATCTTTTTTCGTAAGTTGTTTAACATGATATTTTTTGTTAGAATGAAATTATTCAAAGCTGACCATTGTCTTAGCGTGAATTCTATATAAAATAATAATTATGTAAATAATAGTACACTTAAAAAATTTCATGCATACCTAATTTAAATGCACTGTGTTCAATGCAAATTATTTACAATTAGAAATTTTATTTCTTTTTTTGAATAAAAATTTTCATTTCTTCCTTTTCACTCAATTCATTTTTTCTTTTAAATAATATATTTTATTAGTACTATAATAATAAGTAAAATTTGTTGCATAAGTATAATTTCATAGATTCATTTTAATTAATTACTGATTACTTATACTTAGATTTCAATAAAAGATTTCATACAACTGAAAGTATTGCTAGCTATTATTTTGATGTAAAGAAAGCTTGACTCTCTTTGTTTAAAACACTTTCCTTTGAGCATAAATAAACTATTCATGCTGTGAGCATGTGCACCATTATTTATAAATTCCATTGAAATTGTCCCAATCTAAAACACATTTACTAAATAATGCAATTTTTTTTTCTTCATATTAATGTAAAAGGTTTCCTGCATTTAAAATTCAAACTTTAATGTATGGTTTTATGTCTAAATATTTGTTTTGATTCTTAATTGGCTAGCGCTGACCCATTCATTTTTAATGCTTAATAAGCATGTTGCACTTGTACAATTTTTATTAGTGCATGCAATTTACATTTGCTTGACCAGCATGTTGATTTTTATTGCATGAAATTTTTGACTGAGTGCAGATATGGTGAAACCTTGATTTTTTTTGATTTTTTTTTAAAAGAAAACATAATATAATATTGTTTTTCAACCATATCCGTTTAAAAAAATACCTATTATAGGTGCTCTAAGCTGCACATGCAAACCATATCTACACTCAGATTTAAAATGTGTTTAAAACTCTTTCTAATTAATGATAAATTTGATACAGATGTGCCACGGGTGAATCATGGCAAGAGATAATGCTTTCGTGTATTAAGGGATCGGACTGTGATCCTCGAGCTGAAAAGTCGGAGTGTGGAAGCAACTTAGCGTATGCATACTTTGTGAGCTTCATCTTCTTCTGTTCTTTTTTAGTAAGTATAAAATCACTAAAATTTTGCTTTTCTGCAGTGTTAGATCTTTGGGAAGAATTGCAAACATCAGAAAAATACATCTTAACTAGTAAATTTTGTAATATATGCCTTTATTCAATGAAACTATTTTTCATAGTAACTATATGGAAATCTTCTTACGTGCTTACCCCAGTTATAAACACGCCTTTTTTTTAACTATAAAGTAATGACTTTAAGAATATAATTTATATGATATAGTTCTAAAGATATAATTTTAAAGTTTAATCTAATGCTTAATTCTGTTTTTTCCAACTATAGTTTCCTTTTTTTTAATCTGATGTATTTTGTGTCTTTTGATTTCCACTTTTTTTATGGGCTTATCTAATTTTATGTTTTATTTACTTCATACCATCATCTCTGTAATGTTTATCATCGCTAATTTTTCTGTATTTTATTGTACATTGAAGATATTGCTCCACTGTAGCATTAAAACTAGTGGTAGAAGGCAGCATAGCCTTAGAAGGTACAAAATTTATGAAACATAAATTCCAGAATAAACTGTTTCTCTTTTTTTTATTATCGCCAGTTTAATTTGAAAATTAAGGGCACCATAACTTTTTCAAATTTTATCCGATTCACTGTCAAATTGAACAGGATGTCTATCTGTGCCATTGTAGTTTGCTTTACTCAAAGGTTTTTTATTTTTAAATTATTTATAACCCATTAACAATATATTGAATGAAAAATGCCTTTAGAATAACCGCTATCATTCAATGAAACACGGTAAATGTGATCAAAGCATCTAAGTGGAATAGAAACTACATTAGTAACATACGCTGTTAAATTTTATTCCATGTAAAATTTAACAATCCAATGCTAAGTGTGGTGTGTTTTACATAATCATTTTAAAGTAATCCCGAAAAGAGACTACTTTAAAATGATCTTATAGATATGATATCATATACTTATAAGTTTCACACCATAATGTAAGGGAATTCAGAAACTGAATTTGTCCTCATACACTGTAAACCCTAGCTATGCCTCTGATTGAATAGTTGTATCAACTATTGTAATGTATTATTTGTTCATTTTAAGATTTCCTTTTATTTTTCATTATAAAATCACTGTTATATTAGTGATATTTAGTCAAGCTGGGCGATACATGGTGAAAAATTTAAGCTCTTTGAATATGGTAACAAAATTTCTATTCACGATATATCATAAATCCTAAGTCTTGCATTAAATATTGAGTATACTAGAATATCACAACCATTATCAAGAAGGATAGAAGGTGACTCAAAGAATAGAGCGATTCCCCCCACATTGAAGTTACCAGGGCTCAATTCCCACTGATGGCTGCCCAATACGAATTCCTGCCTGTACTGACCACATTGCTGAGGGAAAAAACCTTCAGTGGTAGATGGATCATGGGTTAGAGTCCCCTTGCCATGGGTGGTTTTTGTGGTTTTCCTGTCCATGTAATGCAAATGTGGGTTAGTTCTATCAAAAAGACTATGAAGACAAATGTCTCCCAATACTTGATTCAAGAGTTCCTTTGTCTTCTGGTTTGGGCTCAAAATAACTAGGCTAAGTAGTTGAACATTGGTAGTCGTAAACTCAAAAATTGGGTCGGCTGTTCAACGATGGTGATAAAATCAAATCATTATCATGAATATAACTTATCGAATAGTGTATTATTATTATTATGAGTAAGCTATTTTGTTTAATTATGATTAAAATTACTTAAAATAGTTTTGAGAAAATTTTTTATCTAATGCATCATTTAAAGTAAAAATAATGAAAGTTAATAAAACATGAAAATTGGGCTATCAGGTACTGTCAAACCATCAAATATAAAGCACTGTTAAAAGCTTTGAAACTAATTGTTTTGACAAAAATTAAAATATTTGCTTTTATTTTCAGATGTTAAATCTCTTTGTAGCTGTTATTATGGATAATTTTGATTATTTAACTCGTGATTCATCAATTCTTGGAGCTCATCATTTGGATGAATTCATCAGAATGTGGGCAGAATATGATCCTGGTGCATCGTAAGCAACTTACTATTTTTACGTGTAGAACATAATTTAAATAATGAATGAAATGTAATACGTAGGGAACCGATTATCCGGAACGGTCGGGACCAACGCTATTCCGGATAACTGATTTTTCCGGTTTTCTGAATCGCTACAAAAAGCCGTTTTTTTTATTGTTAAACACAACTTAAAAAAAAAAAAAAAAAATTGGAAATAATCTTAAAAGTAAAAAAAATGATGAAGTAATACACTAATGATTATTTCCAAAATGTTGGTAAGGTAAACATCTTTAAAAAAAGAAAAAAAATCGTAAAATCTTATGAGGAAAAAAAATTTTTTTTTTAAAATGGCGAGAAAATTTATCGAATATCGTTCCGGTTTTTTGGTTTTCCGGTTTTCTGGGTTCCGGATAACGGGTTCTGTACTGTATTCAGTTTTTTTTCTCTACAGTTTTTGTTAATTCTCTTTACAATATAACCTCAACTTTCTGAAACTTACATAACCAGATGAGTGTCAAAAATAGAAAATGTTGGATAAATTGAAGGCACTTTATTAGATATGTTTTCTAAGTGTCAAAGTATAATTTGCAGGTTTAGTCCAATAACCAATATTAAAGCGAAAGAGTAAAATATCTCTTGCTATAAGCATCCATTGGGTACCACAAAAAAAAATTTGATATGACAGTTCAAATGTTTGTTATTGCATCCAAGTAGTGGATCCACGTGGATTATACTTTTAAATGGTTGCTTTTCAGTGCTACTTTGCAATACGTAGTTCTATGATTAGCAAATCCCAAATCTTGAATTTTACCTGATATATGAATTAAGCATAAACTAATCCTATTCTAGGGGTTTACAAACCAACATTACTATTTTCATTCGCACAATTTGCAAATCACGATATATAAGACAAGTGTGTAAGATGCACTTGCGTGATGCGTAGCGTTGTTAAGAAGTACTTAAAGGTGCTTATTTTTTATTTACGTTTTTTAAAAGTCCTTAAAGGTGCTTTTTTTATTCAGGGTTTGTAAAAAGTGCTTAATTTTCTACCTTTTACAAAGAGATTTTTTTCTTTGGCATGTCGATTGTAGTCATAAATTACAAAAAAAAATTCATGATTTTCGCAATTTTCTCTGCAATATTTATCAGAAACTAGTTGTTGATCATGATTATGTAAAGTTTTTGAAAATGTTTTTGAATTTTATTGATTTTATGATTATAAAATAAAGAACTTTTAACAATAGAAAAAAAATATTTTTTATTGCTGTACAGATCCTAATTATGACTCTTTTTTTTTGGAAAGTGATTAAAAATATTTTTTGAGTGCTTAAAAAGTACTTAATAGGTAGTACTTATTTTTTGTTGAAAAATCTGGCTATACACCCTGACTTGATCACTATTAATTCCGCCAGTTCTGGAAAATCATAAATATGTTAAAATTGAGAACTTTCAAGAAAGNAAAATATTTTTTGAGTGCTTAAAAAGTACTTAAAAGGTAGTACTTATTTTTTGTTGAAAAATCAGGCTATACACCCTGACTTGATCACTATTAATTCCGCCAGTTCTGGAAAATCATAAATATGTTAAAATTGAGAACTTTCAAGAAAGCTATTACTAATTTCTTTATATTTGTTTAGTTTCATATTCAGATAGGGCTGAATAACTGAGTACAATATATAATATAACTAAGAACTCTGCTGTGTTTCAGTATTTTTCAAATTCAAACAGTAAAATATGTTTAACAACTTTGTGAAAATTGATTACTATGAAACAGTTAGCCCCTCTTAGTTGTTTACCAGTTATAAATATACATACTTGTTACAATAAACATTTAATGATTATTAATACAGTGGAACCACGACTTTGCATTTTCTGTTGGACTAGTCTTAAAAAACGCATGAAGTGGAAGAAGGTAAAATCAGGACAATAATAATCTAAGCATATTTTTCAAAATTTGACACTTACAAGATTACTATTAGAAAATAATGTGTAATCTTTATTTGTTTTTAGATACAATTTCAATAATATACCCTTCAATACTTACTATTGTTTGCAAATTTCCTTTTTAATTTACATTTGCAAATAAATATTATTTCATAGTTTTTATGCTTTGAAGCTCTTGATTGGTTGTAGACATATCTTTAGATATTTTTTACTCGTCTTCATTGTTTTCATCGCTATCTCTGGCAGCAGACATTGAATCAGATCTCAAGGGAATTAAAAAGTAATGGTTATGTGTGTTACAGTCGATATACACGTCATCGACTTCGGAAGATCTTCAGCTACTCAATTTTATTCTGGAGAGCCAATGCTTCTGTTGGATACCTATAAGAGTACATTATTAAATCCATTTGTAATGCCTTATAGTCGACTCTGTCTAATGCTGTAGAAATCAAATTCAGATCTACCAAAACATTTATTTTTACTTTAAAAGCTTCTTGCAAGTCAAAGAAATCAAGAAAAAGAAAAGATTACCTAAGCAGTTCTTTAATGCAATGTTCTTTAACCAGAAAAAAATTATGTAAAATGCGAGGTAATGTACGAAATGGACATCGTGAAACTTGGTGTTCCACTGTAAATAAGAAATTGAACAACAATTATTATAATTATTCTTAACAATTATCCAGATTTCTTTTTAATGAAAGAAAAGAATTTAATTGCACTCAATTTATTTAAAACTTAGTGATCATTTGTTTATCTATGAGATGCATGAATAAGTATCTATATAAAAATTTAATATGTAATGTAATGTAAAAAATATTTTTGCAAACTTTTTTGTGAAAATTTATTCTTTAAATTTAAAACATAAAATACTTTTCTTTAATTTATTTTTGCAGCATCTGAAGTTTTTTATGACATTTCTATATTGTCAAAAAATACTAAATCAGTTACAATTAAATATATGTTATATTATATTAATAGTATTATAGTATTATCTTCATAGGAATTTACGTTTAATAATTTAATTATTTACACACTTATCACAATTTTAGAGGCCAAATTCATTACACTGAAATGTATGATATGTTACGCAACATGGATCCTCCTCTTGGATTTGGAAATAAGTGCCCTTATCGTTTAGCATATAAAGTGAGTTCTTGTATTTCTTAATCTATCCCCTCCCTCAATTATTACATACTTTTTTCCCCTTGTATAATGATATTCATTATTACTATCAATTTCTCTAAATTTTTACTGTAGAATCAAAGCACTTTGTTTTATAATTAATTTTTTTTTTAGTTATTGCTGTGGATTTCACAGTTTTTAAAATATGTAATTTTATAGGACTATGCAATTTTTTTTCTATATGTATTCTTTTATGCATACATAAAAATAACAGTCACTAAAAAAAATTTCAGATAATTTATTCTTTCAGCAATCACATGTTTGTTTATCATATGTTATGGAATTTAAACTATTTGCCTTTAGTGTTATTCCTTTTCAATTTAAAAAAGTAGTGATAATAATAGTAATTTTTCTCATTTATTCATCAAAGAAAATTTACATGATAGAAAAAGAATTAATTTATAACATTACAAGTATTGTACAGCTACTAATTCTAAACCATTTTTTTATCTCTTTTTAGAAACTCATCCGAATGAATATGCCTTGCACTCCTGATTTGAAAGTTCATTTTACAACTACTTTATTTGCATTGATAAGAGAAAATCTCAGTATTAAAATTAGACCTAGTAAGATTTATCACTTTTTTGTGGTTATAATTTATTATGTTTTTAGTTGTAGAGCATGCAAAAGAGAAAAAAAACAGACCTCACTAAATAATTTTTAATCGAATGACTCACTTTAAATGGTTCGAGAGGGTAACCTCAAATATTCTAACTAATTAGTGCAGATGATATTTTAAATTATGAAATCAGAAACAAAAACGTACTCTGAATAAACATACCTTTTTTCTCTAAAATTTTAATTTCTGACTCCTTAAATATATGGGGTAGCCACAATCGGAGAAATATGGTCTCAATTGTTTGATCAGGAGAGTAGTCCAATGTTTTGGACCCCTTACTGTTTATTTTACTTCTTTGTGTATTTTACAGTATCTCAAAAGCTTTTTAAGTAAATGGAAAAGTTTTTTACATAAAATTATAAAATTCGTTTATCCAAAGATAATTCCATACAAAATATAACTTTTAATAAATATTTATTACTTTATTTAATAATAGTCGGAAAATTTTGAATTTTAAGGTAAACTATTTTTTTACATCATTTTAGAGAATGTAATTTTAAATAACAAAATGCAAAATGGATTAAATAGTTCCTGAGAAATCAAATATTAAAGAATAGGACTTAATCAAAACTTGATTTCTTGGTAACTTTTCAATCGATTTTACTCAAATTTTGTAGTTTACCATATAAAGTTACAGTCTTTAAAATGATGTAAAAAAAATTTACCTATGAATTCAAAATTCTTTTATTATTAAATAAAATAGTATAACTATTATTAAATAAAATAATAAAAATCGTAAATTTTTATTAGAAGTTATATTTTGCATGAAGTTATTTTTGGATATATGAATTTTGTGCAAAATTTTTCATTTCGCTTTAAAAGTTCTTGACATATTGTGAAATACCCAAAAAGTAAAATTATCTTTGAGGAGTCCAAACTTTGGACCACTTTCCTGATCAAACTATTGGGATCATATTTTCTAGATTGCAGTTTCTGACAAATACAAAACTGCAAATACTGATAATAATGAATAATACTGAAAGTAGTACATTTTTGTGTCTGATTTCATTACTTAAAATATCGTCTACACTAATTAATTAGCATATTTTTGGTTACCACCTATAAGATTTGTTCCAGAATGTGAAAATCCCATTATTCGATCAAAAGTTATTCAGAGTGGTTCATTTTTTATTTTACACACTGTAAGATTTGTACGATGAACTGAATATCTTTATAAGATTAATAACATTATATCTTTGTGTAGAAGCCATTTTTTTCTCATTATTCCAAATTATTCACGTCTTTCATTTTTTAGCTTTTGTTTATTATATTTTAATTTCTAATTCTAAATAACTAATAAGAAACCAGTATTTTTATGTTACTTTACCACTGAGAATCATTATACTTTTTTTTATATATTTCAGTAAGGATTTTTTTAACATATATTTTTAATTACATGTAAATCTTGATTCAATGTATGGACCACAAAAACGGATCACACTCTGAATAACTTTTGATCTTATGATATGATCTTCACATTCTAGAAATCAATCTTAATAGTTTGAGGGGGAACCTCAAATATGCTAAGTGCAGACGATATTTTAAGTTAAGAAATCAGATACAAAAACACACTTCTCTCATTTTTTTCAACAGATACAGATTTCTGACCCTCAAAACATTTTCCCAATCAGGGAAATATGGTCCCCATAGTTTGGTCAGAAGAGCAATCCAAAGTTTGGGCCTCATAATGTTAATTGAAATTTTTTTTTTTGTTGCTTACTTCGTTATATCTCATGAACTTTTTAAAGGAATTTAAAAGTTTTTGCACACAATTGTAAAATTCGTTTATCTGAAGGTAATTCCATTCAAAAAGTAAATTGTAGGTAATATTTATTATTTTATTTAATAATAGTCGAAAAAATTTGAACTGTAAGATATACAATTTTTTATATCGTTTTAAAGAATGTAATTTTGCATGGCAAAATACAAATGTTGGGCAAAATTGGTTGAATACCTCCTAAGAAAAAGATTTGTATATATAAAAATTGTATCTGATTTTGTAACTTAAAATATCGTCTGCACTAATTATTTAACATCTTTGAGGTCACCCCCTTGAACAATTATGATTGTGTTTTAGAACGTGAAGATCCGATAATTAAATCAAAAGTTATTCGGGTGTGTTTTTTTGTGTGCGCTGAACACTATTTTAAAGCGTATTTATATTAATAGTTTTTATTTTTCAAAATACTTTGAATCTATAGTAAAGTCATTATTTCAATTATAAATATTTTTAAAACCATTTATTAAGTTTAACCTTATATCTTTCTGAAATCTGAATATCTTTAAAACTTTATGAATTAAATTTGTTATTTACATGAAAAATAGCATAGTTTAATTTCTGATTTTCTAACTTATTTCATGCTTATCTTGTGCTGATCCCTGTTTTTGGTGTTATTTAGAAACATTTTTAAATTTTATCAATCAATGAGCATTTTACTTTTTAAGTTGATGAAATGGACCAAGCTGATAGGGAACTTAAAGAAACTATTAGAAAAATTTGGCCTCTGCAAGCAAAGAAAGCTATACATAAACTGCTTCCCCCTGAAGAAGGTAAAATAGTTTACTATCCATAAGTTTCTATTTCGATATTTTTATACCTATGTAGTTAAAAATAAGGCTTAACAAAAATGAAACATTGCTAATTTTAGACTTTTTAAAAGTTTGATCCCCTAAATTTGCCGTAACAAATGAGTCTCATTTTGGTTGTTTTGCTGTACAGATATGTATTTTGCTTGAAACTATTAGATTGAAGGGATACCATGAAAGGCAAGTTACCATATCCATTTGGGAGAGAAAAGGTGTTTCTTTTTAATGTTTTGGCTATTTTTTGTAGTTTTATAACTTTAAAATTGACTCATGAGATGTTTTTGATAATTTAAGCTGAGTTTGTTTTATTGTTTCGGGGGATTTTCCCAGTGTAATTATATCTTAAATGCACAACTTTACAATCACTTTAAATAACAAATGAGAAACATATTTATAACACCAGTGGTTTAGATATTAAGGTAAAACATTTTTGGATGATAGATTATGTTTAAAAGTCTTACATTTAAAACCAGTGATTTAACAAGAATTTTTATTTTATTTTATTTATGTATTTATTTATTTTTTTTATTTTTATTTTATTTATTTTTTTATAGTAAATAGAAATTTTGCATGCATTAATCACTCATTATCTGCCAAAAGACTGTAGCAATTTTCCCATTCTTCGTTTCAGAAATAATTTAATAATTCAGAAATAATTCAGTAAAGTCAATACGTCTGTCATGTTTTAAACTTGAAAGCTAGATTGAAAGCAAATTATACAAAACAGAAATTTGATAAATGTTTCGATCAAATTCAAATAAAATTTTTAATGACACTTTTCATTTATAAAATATATTACTAAATTTCAAATCGTTTGTTTACAAAAAAAGAGGGGGAATTTTCCACTTTTTTAGTTCATTATTTAAAACAATGGCTTTAACTGTGTTATAACAAGTCGAAACATGTTTTGCTGGCTTCTTGTTACAGAACTCATTCAATGTGCATTTTAATGAGCAAATTTGAATAAAAGTTCATAAAAGGAGCAACAGAAAAAAACAGGTATGAAAAAGAAGAGGAAAAACACTTTTTGGATATGATNGTGGAGTTTCGAGGGGATTTAAGATTAAAATTGACCAAATTTGAACCCAATATAACGAACCTTGCAGAGAAAAAAAAACACCAGGCACACCCATGTCATTGATTAAGAAGCAATAAATCCGTAGTTACTTTACTTATTATTTCTACTTACATATTAATATATTTTTCATAAAACTATTGCTACACTATGTACTATTACTTTAATAAATGTTCAAAATCATAAAATAAATGTACAAACACAGTATCTAATAGAGTTTTATTTTAATTAACAGAAAATTACTTTTATGGGGGTCAATGGAGATTTCGAAAAGTTATGTAGGGGTCGATGATCAAAAAAGTTTGGCAACCCCTGCACTAAACAGTTAGTTACTTGAGACTATAATGTTAACAATGTTACCTTTCAAAGAAGTACAAGAATTGGTTTGAAGTTTCAAAATATGATTTTTCACATTTCTTATTTTTTAACTAAATTATAAAAACTCTTAAGAAACTCTAAAAATTTCCTCAATTCCATTAATTACTATTTTTGTATAAGAATATTATATTTGTACACTAATAACTTTTTATTCTAAGGATTTTTTTTTTAAATGCAACTTTGAATCAACTTGATGCAACTTTGAATCATTTTCATAAGTATTTTTAACTTTTCCCAAGATTATTTAAGATTTTCTAAAATACAATTATTAATTAATGTATTAAATATTATAATATCGTCATAAAAAGTATAAAATTTTTTTAAAAAAACTTAAAATGCTCCTTTTCATTAACTTCATACTCATATGAGTTAATTTTTAATAATTAACTGACTAATTTCATTTAATTACATTAAACAAAAGTGAATTGAATTTTTTTCAGTACTTTTTTTTGTAATTATTTTTTACAGTATCAATTTTGTCTTCTGAAAATTATGTCTTACAAAATATTACTCTAATGGGAGATTGGGGTTATTGTGGACATATTGAATATTTCTGATATTATTCACTCAAAATTTCTCTGAAAAGTTTTGGCAGACTAAAACTATGTTAAATTTTCCTACTCATTTGCATTAAAGCACAATTACTTGTTTAGCTACAAATTTAAAAAAAAAAAGGAAAGAAAGAAAAACAAGTTTTTATGACGGAAATTTGCTTTTTAATCATTCCTTTAAGATATTTTTATTCATTGTTTTTAATGTTAAAAATTTTTATAGTATGAATGAATATGCTTATTATGCATTTTAATAATCACTTTTGCTTTGCCGTTTTTCAGTGAACTGAACCAATGAACTGAACTGCCACTTTTCAGTGAACTTAAATGAAAAAATGACTTCACTGAGTTAATTGGTACACTTATTCAAGCCAGTATTTCTTCTCAAAAATAAAAAGCATCTTAGAAAAATATTCCTAAAATAGTTATGAAGAAATAGCCATGCTGTGAATAGGAAGACAAAATATGGATTTTATCTCTTATATTCACAATATTTCTTGAATACTAAAGTTTTTCAGAATTTATTGTTTAAAAATCATGCAAAACATGGTAGGTTGAAAAATAGCTCATATTTGTGCTGTTACATAATATCCAAACAAAATATGGATTTTATCATTCGAAATTCACATGATCTCCTTGAATACTAAAGTTGTTCAAAGTTTATAATTTAAAAATCATACAAAACGTGATAGGTGTGAAAATAACACAGATTTGTGCTGTGACAATATCCAAAATGTTATCCATCAAGTTCATCATTCATGTGAATATGAATCATGATGCAGCATCATAAAAAGAATAATAACATGATCTTTATGCATCTTTAAAACCATACAGAATTTAAAACAAAAACATTTAAATACATACTTTTTTTGCCGCATTTTTAAAAATAATCGCAGAAATTCAGGTGATATCATGGGGAAACCATTATAATATGATTGGTGGAAGACTCAGCTTTATTTGAAGAAAAATTGCGTGGAACATAACTACAATCAGAATTGACGATTATCTTAATTTTTAGTAATCAAAATAGGCAACATTCCTAGTTAATTTGAGAGGTTCAACTGCAAGGTGCTAATCTGCACTTGCCTTAGTTTGTTTGATCATAATGATCAAACAATTAATGCATTATGCTCTGCTATTTTTGCTTCAATAATTATTGAATATTACTTTTGGTACAGAGTGCTCTTGTGTTATTATTACGAAGTATTTATAAACTGCTTACATGGCACGTGCAATTTCACATCTGTTTTTATTTGCTTAATCTTCTTTATTTTCTTATGATTCCAGAATTGGAAGGTATCAAAGTAACAGTTGGAAAGATTTATTGCGCTTTGCTCATATTAGACAACTGGCGAACTTCTCGGTTTGGAAAACTGTCGGGAAGACCTAGAGTGAGTTGTTATTTACCTTCTAAACTAATGCATTCCAAGACAATTTGCTTGATGCCTTCATGGCCTCCAATTATGAATCACTAATTTTGAAAATAAGCAATTTTTTTTTTTTTTTTTGCATTTTCAAAAGTGCTTCGAAATTGTTCATCGAAAATTTGTTTCAATAATACCTGTTACTTGTTTATCAGCTGCTCATTTCTTCGTTATACTCATTAAAGAGAATAATTAATTATACAGAACAAATTAACCTAGAAGTTTGTTTATAGCAAATGTAACGTAACAAATGTAAAGTCATAACAATTTTTTATTATCACTTTAATTTTATGTTCGAAAATTGCTTGTATCATATTCTGAAAAGTCCGAGTCCAATTTAATTAATGGAAACATTTATTTTTCGTTGTTGTTGGATACTAATATCTGTTATTTTTCCATAGGTACATCAATTTTGATTTGTTCATATTTTATTCAAAAATTTTAAATTTGATGTACTTACATAAAACAAATCACAGATAAGATTCTAAATAAAAAAAAATTATTATACCATTCCTTATTAACAAATTACTATTAGTCTGTTTTTTTTTATGAAGGTTATTGCTGTTATCCTAGTTTTTTTTTATGAAACGGACGATATTTTTAACACTAATATAGTGGAAAGATGTTTGTAAAAAAAAAAAATTAAGTAGGATGTGTGAATCTAATTTAATCTCCAATCTAACTTACAGGAATTTAGGAAGGACATATTTCTCTCTAAATATACTTTAGGCATTGTAAATAGCAAAATTCTAAATAGCATTTTTTATTATATCATTCCTCATTAACAAATTACTATTAGTCTAGGTTTTTTTTATGAAAGGTTGTTATACTGTTAACCTATTTTTTTTTTTATGAAACGGACAATATTTTTAGCAGTGATGGGAAGATGTTTGTGAAAGAAAATTTAATAAGGATGCGTAAATCTAACTTACAGGAATTTAGGATTGTTTCTTTTCTAATTTTTAAAAAACATGAGTGCTTCAAGCTAGTGCTAGTGTAAAAGTACTTATTTATTTTCTAAATTTTAAACTTTCTAAAACAGAAAAAGTTTATTTTTTTAATAAAGACTGGAGTTAAAAAATACAATATGTGGGGTTTGTGAAAGCAATATATTTATTTATTTCAGGAAAAGACACCTACGCCTCCTCCTGATGCGGTAGTGTAGACATTCTCTGTCTTTCTTCTTCCTCTCACTATTATCTTCTTGCACTAAATTTACAAAATATTTTCTCCGTTGATCTAATTCTGCTTCACTGGCTATATACATAGAATTAGATTTCTTTCATTGCATATTGAGAAGCTGCAATTTACATTTTTTCTGAATATAAAAGCCATGGCCTGATTTAGACATAGACTGCATCAATTTAGACTTCTGCGTATTGTAGGCAGCATGCATGATGTAGTTTTTGAATAAAATAATCTATAGAATTGTTTACCAATAGTTCATAGTATTTTCAGGTTCTGCTTTGCACTAATATGTACGGCAAGTCATTTCATCGTAACAAATTACAGAAAATTTTTTAAAACTTTTGTTAACTTGACTACATTTAAATTAGATCTTTAAAAAAGAATTAGGGGGTTTTCATCATTTTCTAATAATAATTAATATAAAAGATAGCTTCTAATGATAATAATCATTGGATAATGGGTATAGATTTATTTTGCAGTTCACTAATTTCCTTATTCGTTGAACTTAGAAATTGCTATTTTTATCATTTTTTAATCCAGCCTTTTTTAAACTGAAGCTGTTATTTTTGTCTCCTATTTTTGCAGTAAATAAATCCCATCAAAATAGTTTGCTCTACCATTGTACTGAAACAAAACTAGAAATAGAAAAGAGATTTGGGAAGAAGAGGCACAAAAATTAATTCAAAATCACGAGTCCCAACCCTATGCTCGTGAGCAGCATGTCGCCCTCCAACTGTTTTTTGTGTGCCTGCCGCAATGCAAAGTATTTTAAATTACAGTAAAGTGCTATGGAAAATTATAAATTCCTCTTAAAAAATAATCGCTAGGTTAAACAGCATGCGCTCTATGAACTTACATACAAAAATATTGAAGACCTCTACACTAAAATTTTTTAAATTATTTAAATATAAAAATGGTCATTTATCTTTGTAATTTGTTTTATAAAATGTATATTAATCATAAATTATGGAAGTCAAACCATGTGTGAACATTCAAAAAACTATAATTGTATTGCATCAATTAAAAAACTTTCAGTTAAGTATTAAAAATTAAACTTGTTTATGTTTTTTTACGAATTTTTATCATTTAACCAATCTTTATAATTTTATTATGCTTCTCAAGATTCCTAATAGATGAGCATTATTTGAAATCAGAGAAAACTTTCTCATATTTTAAACATTATTGCAATTTTAGAAAAAATTATATGCACTAAATATACATAAGCCTAATTTTGTAGATTTTTTTTTATCTCAACTTAAAAAAAATGTAGGTACTTAAACAAAATCCCATTTTTTTTCATTGGTATTATCTTATAAATTACATTATAATTATAATAATATTCTTTTTTTATAAGTGTGTGTTAATACCAATAATTCCTATCCTTTGTCCCCCAATATACCAGCAACAAATCCTGATAATTTACAAATACAATCTGATATCACTTCCTTCAACTCATAATAAATATATGATTTTTTTAATATCTGAAAATACAAATTTTCTATCAAGTATAATATTTATTTGTAGTTATAATAAGTAGTGAAATTAATCTTTGAAAGGTTACATCATTAAAAGTTCAAATGATAATATAAATAAAACAAGAAAAACATCAACAACAAAAAGTTGTTAAAGCTTCCAGTTGAAACATTTTTTTTTTATTGTTTAACAATAGAGTTTTTTGTTTCTAGTTTTATTTTTTACAAGCAATAGGTAGAAAAAAAGTGTAATTTTACACAATACAGAATATATATAAATTGAAATATCAATCAATCTACATTTTTAAATGCTTTTTCAAGAAAGACTTGCTGGATTTATTGATACTTTCACCTAATTTTGCCATAGAGATTTAAATATTATTTCCCTTATATTCTATCTATGAGTTTTTTAAGTTTTACCATCCCTTAAACAATGCTGCAAGAGGAAAACTCATATCTGGCTACTTGAAAACAAGTTCTTAAACAATATATATCTATGCATGTAGGATAAAACATTTATTTATTACACATGAAAATCTATTTCTAAATTCCTCAAAAGATATTAAAATGTTTAAAAACAATAATAATTGTTAAAATTTATTTCAATTCATACAAAACTTTGGGGAGCTTTATAAAATCGCCAGTGAAGCAAATTATTGCATGTTTTACTTTTTATTTACTTTTGTATTGCAAATATTTGGCATGTCTGTTTGAAACAATGCTGTGTCCTATCTACAAAAAGCATTGATAAATAAGCTCCTTCTAAAACTCTGCATGTTTTACTTACTCTTTGAGATCATTCATTCTTTATAGTTAGATAATGCAATTTTAAAATAAATACAGATGTCATGTACAGTAGGGAACCGATTATCCGGAACGATCGGGACCATCGCTATTCCGGATAACTGATTTTTCCGGTTTTCTGAATCGCTACAAAAAGACGTTTTTTTTATTGTTAAACCCAACTAAAAAAAAATTATTTGGTAATAATCTTAAAAAGAAGAAAAAACGTTGAAGTAATACACTAATGATTATTTCCAAAATGATTGTAAGGTAAACATCTTTCAAAAAAGAAAGAAAAATCCTAAAATTTTATGAGGAAAAAAATTTTTTTTTTAAATGGCCGGAAAATGTATCGAATTTTGTTCCGGTTTTTTGGTTTTCCGGTTTTCTGAATTCCGGATAACGGGTTCTGTACTGTATTTGTAAACACTGTTATAACATTTCTGAAGCTGATACCAAATTTACAAGCCCAAAATAATTTTAAAAAATATTTATTTTAAATAAACAGACAAGACTATTTTATGAGTCAAAAGCAATTATTATCCTCTATTTTTAACAATTCAAAACTACACAATATGAATCTTTATTTAAATGTCTAAGAGCATGAAAAAAGACTCAGCTTGTATTTTCACATTTACTATTGCACAACTGGAATTTAGATAAGGTGTAATTTTCACATGTTGTGTTTCGAGTATTATTGCATGAACGACCTTTTGATGCATGTCCGTTTTTGGACGAAAATGTTTTTTCTTTGGTGATAATAAGAGAGAGTTTGTCTCTCACTTATAATCAATGTTGCACATACCAGCGTCCATCATTTCTTCGGCGCCTGATGGGAGTCACGCGTAACCCGAACTCTCGGAACAATCACGGCAACCACAACCTTGATGAACATTATGATGAAGACAAAGACCAAATGCCTCGTTCACCCAGAGGATCTGTTTTTGAACCAAATCATGGGTAATTATTTATTTATTTATTTCATTTTATAAAGTAAGTTAATAAAAATAATTTTAATTATAAATAATATTGTGTAGTTTAAACGGTTTTATTTTATTTTTGATAATATATATTATAATGCATAACTATTTAGCGCTGCTCATTTGTAAATATTTATTCAGACAAAATGTAGCAATCATTTTGTGTTAGAAGTAAAATAATATTTGCGGTAATATTAGAGAATACAAACTTAAATTATCTCCTGTTTACCCATATATTCTCCAATTTCTCCATATTTGTTGAAAAAACTTTTTTAAAAAACTGGCGATAAAATATCCACTGATNTGTAAATATTTATTCAGACAAAATGTAGCAATCATTTTGTGTTAGAAGTAAAATAATATTTGCGGTAATATTAGAGAATACAAACTTAAATTATCTCCTGTTTACCCATATATTCTCCAATTTCTCCATATTTGTTGAAAAAACTTTTTTAAAAAACTGGCGATAAAATATCCGCTGATGGCAAAAATACTTCTCTTATTCCTCAACAGACAGTGCTATTGCCAGTACTGCAATATGTTGAGGGCTAATAGTTTAAGTAATTATAAGTAATGTTTTTAAAAAAATCTTCTTTAGATTAAGATTTATATACATATTTTTTACTTCGCGAAATGTAAGTGCTTATATTATTTCTCTTTTTGAGTTACATGATTATGCATGATGTATCAAAACTTTACTCGTAGCCTAAAATATGTCGCTAGTAAAATCTCCATTATTTTATTTCTCCAATGTTGGCAGGTGTGTAAAATGCATTAAGCAAAATTCATTAGAGCAGCGATTCCCAATTTTTTTTCTCTATAGAACCCTTACTTTATAAATAAAGTTAATTAAATTGATTGTGAACGTTATAACGTATAAAAAAACTATTTCTGAAATATTTAATTTGAGGAATGAAGATTTTTCATCATTAATCTTCAATTAGGTTTTATATCCAACAATTAAATTTGCAGTCCTTGTGCTATATCTAGTCTAGTTATGAATTTGTTTTTGGTGTACATAAATATGCTGGACATGAATAAAATAGGCAGAATTATAGTTTGCTTTGAGATAAAAACCTAAAGAAACTGCTATAAAGATTAAAAATAGATTATTAGGGAAACATTTCTTTATTAAAGAATTTTATTATTTTATTTTGATTTTAACAGCGCAAAAGGAAATAATAATGCAATATTTTATAAATGCTTATTTTTTTTATAATTTGTTGAATATATTATTATTAGAAATATATTTTCCTTCTAAAATTGCTATTTTTATTTCATTGTCATTCTTACTTCAAATAATTTCACAAAAGCAGCTGAAAGATTGCTTAAATAATAAATTATAGGTTGGATCTAAATGTAATCAAAGGTTTCAAAAATGATCACTGGTTTTAAAAAGTACTAACTCACGGAACACCATTTAAGGACTGCTACATTAGAGTGTATCATTGCATGTTATTTAAATTTCCTAATTGTTTTTTTGCAAGCAATTGAATGTTAATTAGTGCTTAGTAAATAGCCAATTGTGACAATTTATATTTAACTGATTTTGAAAATTTTGCCCATTAAAATATTAACTTTAAAAAATTTTCAACTCATCAAATTTCGAATTTGAAATGACACCTAGATAAAACAATGCATTTTTGGTATCAGCTGCCTGGAAGCTGAAAAATTAGTCAGTTGGAATATTTCTATTGCCTCAGTAGGCAGATGCAAAGTAATTTATCCCATACATGTAATGAAATTCAAAATTCATACAATCAAAATAAAGTATTAAACTTCTGCAAAGTATCAAAATTATTCTATTCATTGTGAAAGTACCTACTTTAATTGTTTATTCCTCCACCTAACTATAATTCTTCTTAACAAAATATAAAATCGGGACGTTACTTTTTTACATTCAAAAAAGGATTTTAGTATAAAAAATTTAAATTTTGCAAAAAGGGTAAATAATATATATTCACCATTTCTGAATTAATATTTGAAAATGTAAAAATTATTCCATTTCCTTTAAAATTTTAGTACATAAAGGGTTAAGACACATTTGAAGAAAAGTTTCTGGTAAAAAAAATTTAATTACCATAATTATAAAGAACAATTATATTCATATTTACTATTAGAGCTGAGATGGTTTTATTTTCAAATATACTTTTAAGTACAGTTAATACAGCTTCAAACAGATGAATATCACCTTGTCTGAGAAATAAAAGTGGCTTGTGTATGATGCTGACCACACTGTCACAATCATGTCATTAGTCACAAAATTGTGGGGCTTGTGTGTCACAAAAACTCCATGAGCTCACGTACCATAACAAGCTGTTGCAAGAATGCTTTACTTTTAAGTATAGTTTATAGTTATTGCTTATACTATCAGGGGTGGGTCTAGGCTTTTCTGAAAGGTACCTATTTTGTGAAACTTAAGACATAATTTGTGAAAAATTGAAAACTATATTAAAAAATCAACACAAAAACATAGTAAAAATATAGATTTATCGTTTCTTAAGGGATACAAAAATAAAATTTTAAGGAAAAGTATTTTGTGACACTACCGTTTTTCCTAAAGTTGAATTTGTGAAACTCCCATTTTACCTAAAATTGATTTTGTGAAGGTACCGCTAAACGGTAGTAAATTCGGCCTAGACAGACCCCTGTCCATATGGATTTGCTCTTTTCGAAACAAAACCATTTGTCACATGCTGTTTTAGGGGTTATGCACACAGTAAGAAAAGCTAGTTTTAATTATAAGATGAAATGATTACTCTTGTAAGGTCTTTTTTCTACTATTTATTTCTAATTTAAAGTTATTTTTTATTATTAATAATATTATTTTCTTATTTAATGTACTTTTTCTTGAAATGAATTGTTCAATATAGCATACAAAGAATCTAGTTTTTAAAATAATAAATGGATAAAAAAATGTAACATAACAAATGGTAATATTTTTGAAAGCACTTATACCAGGGTTGCTGACATTTAATGCAATTTCATTTCTGCCAATCAATTGTGGAACAATTATAACAAATGTACTCTTAAAATGCAACTCTGTAGCTTTTTAATTTTAAATTTAACCTAGAAGATAAAAAAAAAACTTTTTAAGCGGTTTGGGACAAGCTTGTTTTGTTGAGAACTTTTGGAGAAAATCTAATTACATTAGCGTTAATGTTGCATGGAGAACATTCCACTGTGAGCCTAATAGAAGACTGATCCATGATCTATCATTAGCGTTATTGTTACATGGAGAACATTCCACTGTGAGCCTAATAGAAGACTAATCCATGATCTATCTCAGGAAATATTTGGTATTTTAAGAAAAAAAGCTTATATTTTACATCAGTAAAATTGTCTGTAAAAGCCGATAATGAATGACTGTTTACAGCCTGGATTCAAACCATCTGAAAGTGTAACAAGTGCCCCACTCTCATACCCATCCTGTTTTATTGTGGCCATTTTAAGTATTTCGAATTATTTAGTCTGTTTTAATTAATAAAATTAATTATTTTCATGAAATTATGACATCTAAAGCCACAGGCACAATACCGCAAACAATTTTCTTCTAAAGCTTCATAAAAGACATGGTCGCAATTTTTTACTGATATTGGTAGAAAAAGTCTTTTGAAATATTCACATTTAAAATTTTAAGTATGTCTGGCAAATATCTCTGGAACATAAAGTGTGATAGAATGCATCAATTGCTTAGAAGTTTTAACAGTACATTCTTTAACAAATCTTTATTAGAAACATGCAAAAAAAATATATGGTTTTAAAAATGCAAAACTACTAGAATTAATGTTAGTGAGATATTTAGTTATTTTTCCTAACTTTATCGTAAATTTCATTATTTTTTACAGTTCTGAAAAAATTCCTGATGATGAAAGGGGGCGCCAAGGCCCTTTAAGTTTTCTTCGAAGAGGCAGTAGTCACTATAAAAAGAAATATTATGGAACTAATAACCAGCAGGTGTGGTGCATGCAGATATGCACTGTTTCTGTGCATCGCTGTGAATGCACTGCTCTATCTCATGCATGGATCCTTCTACCTATCATCAATTTCGAACTTGCACTGCATTCTGTGATGACTGTATAAGTTGTCGAAATAAATAAAATTGTAAAACCCTGTTGTTGCACTTTACCACTCTCTCATGCTTTAATATCAATGCTCTCTTGCTTTCATTGTTATCTGTTAACGCAACCACATTCCCTTCTGCTTGTTTAAAAAACTTCTCTTTTTTTCTTCATATAACACCACTGACACATTTTGAAAAAAAAATATGTATTCTCAATATTATTCGTGTTTCATTAAAAAAGACATGCTGTGAAAATATCACTTTAATAGTAAGCAATGCTGTGACAGCCGAAATATTATTTTGAAATTTTTTATTTGGACTACTCAAAAGTATTATATCTATCAGATGTTTAATGTATTGAAATGAACGCAGGTTTATGGATCAGATTTAGTATATTAAAATAAGCATATGTTGTACTCTCTTTGTAACTATACCTATCAGTTTCAATGTATTAAAAAGAGCATAGGTTGTAACGCTCTATAATTTTACTATTAAAAATTATTCAAACGCAAGGAAGTTTCTAAAGTTTTATCTTTTGATTGGCTATGATGATTACTTATATTTAAATTATCTAAAAATATTGAAAATTGAGATAATTTTTTATTCTTTGCTAATGTTTTTTTCAATTCATAGATTTTTTTTTTATAATTCTGGACAAAATATTATTTTCTTAAGGAAATAAGAAAATTTTATGATCTTAAAGTTTATGTAAAATTAGTGTAAAAAATTAAAATTAATTTTGAATGAGTTAACAAACCATAATAAATACTTACAAGTATCTTATTTCTAATATGTACAAAATAATGTAGCTCATATTGTGTTTTTATTGTTTATTTTAATTAACTTCAACATATGCTTTAATAAAATAATACTATAAAACTATTTGCATACAAATAAAATTATTTGCATACAAATTTTTCAAAAAGTATTTTTCTAACCTGTCACAATATTGTTCCTTTTATATATCTTCCCTGAATTTTATAAACATTCTTATTATATATGTTGGAAATTTTATTAATTTGTATATGAAGTGAGTAAAAATTAGTAAATGTGCTTTTCATAATTATTTTCTTCATCTTATAATTCTGAGAGAAAAATTCTTTAACTAGTGTCATTTGTTTATTGAAATGAAAAGATTTAGGTTTAGATAAAAAATTTAAATATATGTTTAGATTATGAGACATTTAACTTTTCAAAATGGATTTCTTATAATTGAAGAGTTTTGCAAAATAAAATGTGACATTTTTGAAAACTCCCAACATTTCTAAATTTAAAAACATATCCCTGTCATCTGAGAGTGCAGAATTTAAACTTTTTTAAGTATTTAAATGAGATAGGTTACAATATGAAAAATTTTTTCCTTCAGGTTGTATCATACATTCTTAAAGTGATTTTCTCAAATTAACCAAAACTTTACGTAACATGTTGCTTCACCTTTCTTATCAGTGTAGAAGATTATAAATAAACTAAAAGTTTTTTTCTTGTGTTGATCTCGTAATTCATTATTAAAAGTTATAAGAAATTTAAAACCGAACATTAAGATTTTCAGCTTACTGAATTTTCCAATAAATAAATTCCTCGTTATCTAAATGCTTTAGCTTTATTTTATAAAAAATATTGGAAGGTTTTAAGAATTTTTAAACTTGTCAAAATATTGTGTATGTAGTTTAAAGACATATACCATAATGTACTAAGAAAACTGCATAATCATGTGGTTTTGTTTAAATAAATATATCATTAATTGAAACGTTAAATTGTAAAATAGCAAATGTATTATTTATACTAAAACATTTATTTAATAGGCAATGGAATTACTTGGAATCAACAACTCTCGAAGACCATCACAGATAAGTTTACGCTCCCCTACAAGACCAAATGTAAGAAAAGAAAGTTTCAAAGTAACATTTTATTTTTAATGCTGAGATTTCATTTGAGAGAGTAATAAATAAATTTTATGTAACGTACATGTGAAAAATGCAATTAGATAATTAAACAATTTTTCGATTTCTTATCAATTAATTTTCCTACTAATATTACAGAGTGCGTAGCGTTTTTAAAAAGTGCTTAACGGTGCTTGTTTTCGTTTTTTAAAAGCCCTTAAAGGTACTTTTTTCCATGGGTGTTTTTAAAAAGTGCTTAATTTTCCCTTTTCCGAAATGTGATATTTTTCTTTACCATGTTGATTTTCGCCACAAATTATGCAAAAAGACATTGCCCTATTTCAACGTTTTCACAATTAATTCAACCCCAATCTATTTCGGCGTACCGTCGATCTGTAGTGTATGAAACCACCATTTGTTTTACATGTTTGATGAAATACTTGCATATCCGCACTTGCGTATACTGAGCTGGATTTAGTGATACGGATTTTTGTCTTTCATGTGCAACCCTGCTGCATTTTGCCAGAGATTCTCAATTTCAGACTTCATTTTCCGCCTTCTGTAATAGAATCGAAAAATCTCTCCAATTTTTGCTGATTACGGGGACAAACTAAACATTGTCAATTTTTTTTCTCTATTAGCAGTAGAAAATTTCATTTCCCTTGTTAATTTCATAATTTGTGACGCGCCATCGTCTTCGTCACTGTACATAAAACCATGAATTGTCAAAAACTTGCCAACCCTGTCTAGTTTTGATATTTTTCAAAGTGCTTAAAACTATTTTTTGAGTGCTTGAAAAGCACTTAAAAGGTGCTTATTTTTTGTTGAAAAATTTGACTACGCACCCTGTATTATGTTATATTTATTATTACTCTACCAATTATGTAAGATTAGTTTTATATTATTTAAAATTAAATATTCTTAAAATAATGATATAATCTCCTTTGAATTTTGGATTTATGAAAAAAGATTACCTTAATAATTATTCTAATTGCAGCATTCCTTCCTACCTTCTAACAATAACCAATCATAATTTATAGACATTATTTTAGTCCTTTAATTAAATATGAACATATATAATTAGATTTTAACTATTGACTCTGAACTCTGTTCTAAGAAGTGCCTGTATGCTTTTCTGAAACAAAACTTTTGGGAAGGGATTTTGTGAAAAATTATAAACTCACAAAATAATTTAAAATGAGAAATTTTTATTAAAAGCTTGAAAAGTTCATTTTAAAATCATATACAACAGTTGAATCTAAAATCATGCGATGAAAACAAAAACTCATAAGTTTTTCTTTTTTTTAAATCAAATTAATTTTTTTTTTGGTGCAAGATTACAACAAAGTATTTTTTAGCTATTTATTTTATATTATTTTGTTTTCTTTAGTTATTTCTGTTATATTTTAGATTATAATTACACTAGGAAACACATTTTTTTGTTGCATTTGTACAAGTACTTAATTAAGGTGTGGGGATTTCAAATCTGAAATTAGTTTTAAAGCTACAGAATTTTTTTCGAAATAGTATTTTAAATTTATTTTTTGTTGTAATGTGTAAGTTTATAATGAACATATAGGTTTATATATACATATCAACTTGTCTATTCTTTTGAAAATAGCACTGAAAAATCATATGACCTTAACATATCGCATCATAAACTGAAATGTATTATTGCCTTTTTCCTACCACTCGTTATGTAACAAAGAAGTAGGAACACTTAGTATTCACTCGAGTGAATTTTAAAAAAACCTTGTAAAGAATGTCCTTGTAGAGAAAACGCATCATAAACTGAAATGTATTATTGCCTTTTTCCTACCACTCCCTATGTAACAAAAAAGTTGGAACACTTAGTATTCACTCGAGTGAATTTTGAAAAAAACCTTGTAAAGAATGTCCTTGTAGAGAAAACGCATCATAAACTAAAATGTATTAATGCCTTTTTCCTACCACTCCCTATGTAACAAAGAAGTGGGAACACTAAGTATTCACTCGAGTGAATTTTAAAAAAAACCTTGTAAAGAATGTCCTTGTAGAGAAAACGCATCATAAACTGAAATGTATTTGTGCCTTTTTCCTACCACTCCCTATGTAACAAAGAAGTGGGAACACTTAGTATTCACTCAAGTGAATTTTAAAAAAAACCTTGTAGAGAAAACGCATCATAAACTGAAATGTATTATTGCCTTTTTCCTACCACTCCCTATGTAACAAAGAAGTGGGAACACTTAGTATTCACTCGAGTGAATTTTAAAAAAAAACCTTGTAAAGAATGTCCTTGTAGAGAAAACGATTGCAGATTTGAAATCACTGGAGCAAAAATATCTTAGATCCGTTCAAAAATCTTATGCAACAGAAAACAAAACAAAAATTGTTACTGGGTGTTATCAACTAAAGTGCAATTAAAAATTCGACAGAATTTTCATTCGGCAAAACTTTATATATTTCATCAATACAGTCTTCATTTCATTATTAAGCTTTTAAAGTCTCATATCCTGCATATGCTGACTGGCCAGTTAGCACCCTTTTGCATGATAAGTATACTTATCATGCCAAGGCACTGCCACAAGCAGTTCAGTAAAAGGCATTTAAGTCTTAACAAATTTGAAGACAAAGAACTGGTCAGCATTTAGACATTAACTCGAAATTATTGATGATCGCCATAACTTTTGATAGCATTAGCTGCATTTGATATTTTAAATTTGACATTAATAAGCTAAAACTAGCAACTTTTTTAATGTGCAAATAAAATTTAGTTTTCAGCAAAATGATGCATAAAACTGTTTTCATTTATTTTTTGCATTAAATATTTGCATAATTATACTGTTTAGAATGGCGACCATTTGAGACCAAATGGATTTGGTATTCACCGACGATCTCGCTCAAGATCTCCAGGTCGTGGCCGATCACCAACTCCGACTAGACTGAGAGGTCGCTCACCAACTCCCATGGGAAGGTCCCCTTCAAGAGGACATGAAATTGGCTTTTCTGACATTGTGGACGCTGTGAGTGATGTTGTAGAATTTGCTAAATATGACACCTCTCGAAAAGACAGCAGGTCAAGAGGTAAGGTCACGGTTTTCTGTATCATGTTGATGTGCAAATCAATTATAACATTAAAGCCACTGGATAATTTTTAATGTACTGTTTGAATAATTGAATGCCACCAAGACATGAAATAATGAATAATTGTCATTTTAACTTAAAGAGTTTTGGAATGTGAAGCTTTAAATGTCCTGTATTGTGATACTGAAACTTCTTCCTAGAAAACCAGCAAAGTGGAATTTTTTTTTCTTGTTTGTTTTTTAAATGGTGATATTTGGAAGGATAGGTTTTGCTATATTTGCAGCCAACTTGAGTGACCCTTAATTACTTGGATCTTAATGTTAATGTGATATGCTGCAGCATTTTTATGATTAGTATATAAACCCCTCTATTGATTAATCTCGGAAATAATGTGTTAGGGCAAATGATGGTTCCAATATCCTGAAACACTCAGATCTCATTTTCTCTTGTTTTCATCTGTACAACTTTATAAAATCATTCCATTCTGTAACCTTGAAAACTATAGTGGGTAGGAAATCAAAAATTTTATGCATTTAAAAATAAATTTTAAAAAAAAAGATTGGCACATAAAATATAAAAGCTTTTTTAAATAACATATTAAGTTACCATAAAATTGCCATTTTGGGGTTGTTTTTGCTTTTGAGATATAAATTGAGTCTTTCACACTAGAAAAAGGTTTTTGTCACTGGCATGTAAAAAAAAATATTTTTAAATCTTTCAAACCTTGTCCCTGCCATTGGCTGCTTTCTATCAAAATTGCGGTATTTTTAAGATAAAGTTTTGCAAATAATCAGATATTCCTTTTTTCTTTTCTTTTTTTTTGAGACGGAGTCTTGCTGTGTCACNTTTTTTTTTTTTTTTTTTTTTTTTTTTTTTTTTTGAATATTTCAGCCTGCAGAGAAAAAAAAGTATTTTGGTAGGCCTTCTAGTGGGAGCTAAATATTTTGTAAAAAATATATTTAATGACCAAAATAATGTAACCTATTTAATATGAAAAATAGTGGAACTAATGTGTAAAAAAAAATCGTGGCAGTCTTTTATATTATTTATCAAAATTTTGTGTTGTTTCATTCATCCTATAGGTATGTATTGACACTTCTTTCTATTGTTCTATTAAATACTAGATTTCATGCAATCTCATTAACTTTTATAATATTTCAACCAAAAAATAGGCTAGTGAGATGCTATAGTATTAATATATTTTAAGATAAATTTCACTTTTGGTTTAAATCTTTGACTTAGATATTTCCTTACAGTATTTCAAATCAAGAGGAATAAATTAATCAAACAAACCTCCTCTATTATAATATTATATATTTTTTATATCTCATAAATATAATAATTTATTATTTAGTAAAATAATATTTCATTTTTCTTTTAACCCTGCCATAAAATTGTTTAATTATTATACTTAATATTATATTTGTAAACAATTTTTTTAAAAAAACTGGCCTTATGCATTTTTTTCCAATTGTGTTAAAACAAAGTTTCAAACAATTTTTATCAAATAACCCAGCAATTTTATATGTATGCAACGCAATTTTGAAGTATTATATTATACTTTTTCTAAAACTCACAAAATTTGTTATCTTGTAATCAAAAATTTTCTTTACATCTTCTATTGAATGTTAGATTACTTTTATAAATGTTTTTTTTTTTTGTAATATGTATGCTGATAAAAAGTTCTAATAAAATATTATTTCAATTTTTACCTTAACCAAAACTCAGCAAACTATTTTAACCAGATTTTTTTTAAAATACAAAGCAAATAATTTTGTACTTATTTAAATTCTGAAAAATAAATAAGTTTTTATTTTTTAACTATTATAATTATTTTCAAATTTCTTCAGCTAAAACTCGCGATGATGAATACTCACATTCTCACGATCCACCTTCACGAGGAAGATCTCCTGAACAGTGGCCAAATAAGACAAACTGGCAAGCTGGATCTCCACCCAGATGGAGCCGAAACAACAGTCCCGAGTACCACTCTTCGTGCCTTGACAGAAGATCCCGTAGCCCAAGCCCCAAACCAACTCCCACACGTAGCGATTACCATTATCGCATGGGCATTTCCCAAGAACATCAATCTCGCAGTCCAAGCCCATCTTCCGCCCATAGTTTACCACCTCAAAGGCGTCCGGGGGGTCGGAGATTGCCACCGACCCCAAATCAGCCTTCAAAGCTGCGGTTTGATATGCATTCTGCAGAAGGAATCAACTATCCATCTCGCGTTCATTCTCCACCTATGCCTCAACATCGCGGTGTGTTGAATGTTATGAATTTCCCCCGTCTTAATCCTTCACCTTCTCACTTGCCAAAGTTACAAATGCCACCTCTTTGGCGAGACAGGACGTCAACTTACTTGGAAACACAATGCCCACCCCTTATACGGACGGAATGGCAAAGTAGCAGTTTGCCGGGTCACCAAGCCAGCTTGAGAGATCGTGATTCATATTTATATCCATCTTTGTCATACCACAGTCAGAATATGGAACTTGATGAACCTCTCAGTTTTGAAGTGGCGGCCAGTATAGGTAGAGGATCACGACATCTTCCATCACCACTTCCTAATGGTTACAAGCCAAGCCAAAGAGATCGAATAATGCACAGAGATTCTCCAATGATTGGATTACGGACCGGTCACGTAGGGCTTCGGAGAACAGACTCGGATGAAGACGATTGGTGCTAACCAATCGATTTATAGCTTTTTCAATTGTAGAAAATTTAAAAAGCCCTTCTTAAAAGAGAGAGAAAGGAATCTCGTTCATGGCATTTGGAAGCCACAATACTGTATATAATATTAAAACATATTTCAAATTGTGATTGCCATTATCAGGCCCTAGTAAAATAGTTGCTTTTCTAGAGCTAAAACATCTTTCTGGTCATATCGTCTAGATACAACCCATCTGGTCTTTCATGCTGAGAATGCTGTGATAACACGGCTTCAATATATTTTTATGCATTACAGTTAAATTTTGTAAAGAAATAATCTGAGGTAACACATGATTTTACATTATTAATATAATCTTTTTTCTATTTCAATTGTAAAAATTTATTATTCGATATTTATTCACAGTGAAATAATAGGAAAGCACAAAAAAATAATTGAAGCCCTTTTAACTTTTCAATGCTTATTTCTTTTACATGTTTTTTGGGTGCTTACATAAACAATAGATCTGGTGGTTTTGAAAATGAGAAAATTACCTAGTTTGCAGAGAAAAATTCAGGTCACATTTGCAACTTTCTATAAGTGTAACCATCGGAGGTTTTTCAACTTTAAATCACCATGGATTTGACCCTTAGTGAGTGATAAAATTCTGGGATATATTTACATCCTTTATAGAAAACTTGTTTTAAATTTTTTTTTCTCACAGGAAAATATTTTTTATACTATTTTTTCCCTTTTCAGTAACTTATTTTCTCTTGACAAATTTAAAAACCAGAGACTATGTCAATTTGGTAACTTCCATCCATCATTATTTTCACTAATTGGAAATAATCTTCACTCTAACATTTTCTCCGACCTTAAGGACATTGGCATTTATACGTCTATCTAGTTTTTTAAACCAAAGCAGAATTGTGATCCTAGTTGGAGATATTTCCTAGTTGGAGGCACAATATAGCCAAAACTGGCTCTTGTGCCAAAAAATCAAATCAAATCTCTTGGCATAAACTCTGCCATTATGTATACATATATGCTAGTCAAATGCGCGATTATTGCTGCTGCCTTTAGGCATGGGATTTTGTGATTTAAATCAACCACTTTTGATTTCAGTTCCTTGCAAATAGCTTGGTTTGAATTGAGTTTCCAGAGCTACATTCTCACCGAGCGTTAAAAAAGGCACCGATTTAGAATTAATTGATTCAATTGGCTGCTATTTCTGCTTCTATGTGCAAGTTGATCATAATAAAGGATCTTCATGGTGAGATTCAAAATCATTATAGGAGATATTTAAAATATTAGTGTTTACAAAATGAAGGAGTTAACTTGTACACCCGTAATAAAATCCTATATTCATTGATTGTTAAATATTGGTAGATTTTAAACAAGGAGATAGATATGAATCAATCCATTAATATTAAAGATATGAATCTGTAACAATTTATTCCTTTCGAAAACTATTTTTAATATGTTACAAACAACTAATTTTGCATTTCTTTTCATCATATTTTCTTTATATATATATATATATCGAAACAATAATTTAAATTACGTTCAGAAAAAATTATATTTCTTTATTTGAGGGAGTGCCTCATAGCACCTTAAACTAAAGGCAAATATATCATAACCAGGCGGAACAATGTGAAATATGTTAAACTTTAAAAAATTTTGTAGACTTAATAGGTATTTTTTTTTTGTCTTAGAAATTTTTCATACTTTTTTTTCCAACAGTCTACTTATAGAACACTGGAAATTTGGTATCTTGTAATCAAAAATAGGGAGTCTGATTATACACTGGGATATGTTAATCTAATTTTTAGAGAGTAAAATTATCTTCAGTATAGTGTATACTACTACCTCCAAAATTTGAACATACAATCATGAGGTGAAGGGAAATTTTAACTGAAGATATGCAGTATTTGCAACTGTATGACAAATATGTGAATTTATGGTTTTCATAAAAAAAATTTTTAAAAAAATTGATAAATCTGTTACATTCAAATTTTTAAAGACCTTAATTAACTTTTTTTTATTAAGATTAAACACGAATTTCAAATTTAAGGATGTGTTACCTCAGATGATTTTAGCCATTACTCTGTAGCTATATTTTTGTTTTATCAGTGTTATTTTTTTTATCTCTCTTAGCTTACAAATAATTTTCATTCCCAATAATTTATTTGGATGTGTTAGACATTGTCTCACCACAGAATGTTACAATTCTATAAACTAATTTAAAAGCAAAAACCATCCATTATTGCACTCATTGCCAATTACCTTACTCACACATATTTTCACATGTCATATTTGCCAAATATGTGAACTTTTTGTACATAATATTGCTGTTTTTTATCAGTCAAAACTCTTAATATTGAATACCATCCATTACAGCTCACTTTAGCTCCATTAAATTTTGTTGACTATCAATAAATGTTTCTGTTAGTCAGGTAAATAAATGCCAAAGTGTAAAAAAAGAGAGAAAAATTGAGATCTATAGCAAATGTTCTTTAAGTATAAATTGCATTTATTTTTCTATAATTAATTTGAATGGTTTTTGTGTAAGTGCTGTTATTTCAACTGATTCTTGTCACAAATCACTTGCATAGCATTTATTTCAAAATGGACAAAGAATCAGTGCATTAAATATATTTATCATGATGTATTAAAAATTAAACATGACTTTAAGCCCAAATTTATGTGTTTGGGGTTCTCAAATTTGCAACACATTCCTTAGATGCTTATTCAATCATTTATGCTTATATCTAAAATATGTTATACAATAAAACTCCAATTATCCACGCTTATCTTATCCAGATTAACAACGGCTTCAAGGCGGAGGAAAAAGATGAAAATTGAGTCATTCAAGTTATGGTAAAAAAAATTAATTTGTTAAGTGAAAAGCTATTAACAGACTTAAAAGCAACAAAAAAAACTAAACATTGCATTTGTTGTCATTAAATTAATATATTATACGAAAATTTCATTTTGTTCTTGATAAATAACCATCTTAAAGATATTACGATTAGTTATCTGGATGTTCTATCACTGTCCCTCTTAGTCAAGATAATTGGGATTCTATTGTAATTACCGAGTTCCTGTTGATATTAAACGTAATAATACCATCTATGTTGTCTATAGTTCCTCAAACCGAAGCTTTGCCATTTTCAAACAAAAATTAATAATATTAAATATTGCCAGTGTTTATATCATCAGGTAAAATTCCTTCCACTAATGTTAACATTTATTTTCAAAATGAAACTTCATCCACTTTTGAGCTTCACACTCTCTGCTTTTGTGACCACATGCCTTAATTTTGTGTTCAATAATATAAATACAAAAGAGTGTATTTTGTTTGACAAAATATGTTTCTGAATGTTGTTGAGATCGAAAATATGGGTGAAATATATTAACCCATGGGTGTACAATTTTCCTGGTTTAAATTAAATGCCTTATTTCCCTGGTATAATTACAAACCAAATTAACTACAAAAACTAAACTACAAACCAAAATCATAATTTCTCTTGTTAAATATCCTAGAAAGGAGTACAATTTTCCTTATTAAAAACTTTGACAAGAAACATTTATTATTTCCCGATAAAATTTACCATTTTTACAGTAAAAATAATATATCTATACAGATTTTTTCAACGGTAGATCTTTGCCTTCCCACTGACAGAGCACTACCTCTGATAAGTTGGTTTTAAGATTTCTACCAATTTACCAGATATGTTGTTATTGGAATTATAACCTTTTATTAGATATTTTTGCTTTAACTTCAAAATAATTATTTAAAAATAAAACAGATATCTCTTACTAAAATCAGCCATACACATACTTAATGCCCTGCCCATTAATTAATTGGTCATTAAAACGTTGCAAAGTTTTAAAATCAGATGTAAATAATTAATTACTTTTAGTATGCACATGTGCTGAGTTAATTTTATTTTTGTAAACAAAATACTCTACTTTAAATTCTGGTTTACAATGATAAGATAACTAATTTAATAAAATATTCTTAACAAAAAAAAGTTGACCCAATGAATGATAGGTCATTTTTCTTCAAATGTGTATGTACCAATATAAAATCATTTTTGGGATTTAGATCAGAAGAATTACATTTAATAAACCATTATGTGTTCGCATTTAATCGATATTTTTATACATATGCAAATATGTACACTATTTAATACAAAGTTTTTTTTTTCTTTTTTAAGAAATTAAGCCTATTCTTAAATGATAACATAACCAAACTTTAATATTTAAATTAATGTTATTACATACTTTGATTTTTCATGTATAAATAAATTTATATACAAGTAAGTGCTTATTAAATCAAAAATATATTTATTAATTAAGCTTTCTTGAATTGTTAATAAGTCCTGTGAAGCTTCTGTCCTGTGAAACTTTTCTGTATAAGCTTGATTATAATTTTTGTAAATAAATGACAAATTAACTTTACATTTTATAACATAATATTTATTATAATTTTACTGTTATGTTATTAACTTTTTATTTAATATAACCTTTATTTAAAATGCAATTTTGGAAGCTAGTTTTAAAGTTAAAAAATGACTAATATTCTTACTTATTATCATGTTCACTATTTGCATTGAAAATTAAAAATATTAAACATTTTCAAATCTTTTACAGGTTCATAAAGTAAGAAATGTGTTGCCCTTTTTATTCATATAGAAAAAAAACTACCTTGTGTTCATGTTACTCAAAATATGATTAGTTTGAAATTTTTTTCATATTAAGATAAAAGTATTCTAATTTTCTACAGGAATTACATGCATAGCTGCCATCATTTTAAAATAAAATTTGGGAAGATTTTTACTTTATCAAAATAAATGACAAAAAAGAACTTAGCAAGAATATTATTGCAAATAAAATAGGAATTTTTTTCAGAAAAAAATTTACTAGTTAATAGAATATTAATAATAAAAATTTATTAATTTATTTATTAGTTCTTATTAATTAATTAATAAATAACAATTAATTCTAACAATTTATTAGTAGATGCAATTAAAACTTAAAGTGCTCATAAGGAATTTTTTCTGTACCTCTCATTTCTAATTTAAAAATTTACTTTTTTCAATAAATAATCATATAAGAAAAAGGGAAATTTATGTTTTTTTTTAATTAAAGTTTTACAAGAAGTTTCTTCTTTTTTTCCTAAAAATAAATGGAGAAGTTTTAGGAGTTGGGAATATATCACAATAATTAGAGGGTGTCCATAAAAATAGAAACAATTGGCATTTATAACAACTTTCATAAATCAATATAAATTATAAAAAGCTTTAATATTTTGTTATCTGTTGAATTATTTACATAACATTATATATTTCTTAATTTTTAAAACTACCAAATAGCTCATGCTTAATCTGTGGAGAGAAAAAAAAAGTTCTAATAAAATCCAATTTACAAGCATTTTTCTGCACTTTACTTAAAAATCTGTGTTTTAAATGTTAATTATCCCTTATCCTTTTTAGAAACTGTTTATATATTCTCAATTAAATGTGTTGTCATATTTTTATAAATAAAAGGAAAGTAGTGCTAAATAACATCTTGCCATTTTTACAGTTTTGTAATGTGATGCAAGAACATTGCCACTAAAAAAACCCTTCTTGCACCAACTGCAGGATATTTTTTGCACCACACAAAGTCGTAAAGAGAAAGAACTTTTAGGTTACACTATTTAGCCAAACTGAATTGCATAATTAGAATAGTTATAATACTTTACATTAATCTTCTTGGATAAAAAAAAAGATTTCTGATTGGTTTATGCTAATCAAAAATGCACTCTTTAAATGTTTGGGCTGCATTTAATTATATTCGTATTTATGAAAGACTCGCAAAATTTATATTTACACCAGTTGTATTGTTACAAATAATTTATGTGTTACGTCAACACTAGTATGATAAATTTTTATCAGATGACAGAAATATCTCATTTATTAAATTTCATTATGCTGTTATAAGCACATTCACAATTTTAGCGCACGTTACAGGAAAAAAAAATGCTGTAAAGAATATTTTATCTACCAATTATAAGAAAAGTTATCCCTAAAATATAGATTTACAAAAATGAAAGATTATATAAAGTTATCTATAAAACCCTTTGCGGGTAGAGATTTTTAAAGTTCAAAACGAAAATTTTAAATTATGAATTTATTGCAATAAAGTATATATATGTATTAAAATAAATCAAACAAAATATTATTTAATTTAAAAAATACTAAAATATTTATAACTTTTTAATTGATAAAAAATATATTTAAAGTTAATAACATATGTAAAACAAACTATGAATTAAATTAAAAAAATCCTATGATAATTTATTAAATTAACATTTTTATACCTTAAACTTTCTTGTATAATCCTTTTAAATGGAAAAAATATTAACTGACTACTTACTAAATCTGTACCACAAACTGATTAAACAAATATTTTCATATTTAATTTCTAATCTCAAAAGTGCAAAAATCATTTACAAAGTGTTAGAAGTGAGAAAAAAAATAATCTATTTAAATGAATAATAATTTCAAGAATGCCTAAAAGTATGTTATTAAAAAAAAATTAGTTTTCTGGAAATGTAATTCATTGTATAAATGTTGTCTGTGGAACGCCTATCTAATGTATAATTGTAATGAATGGATTCAATTGGCAGATGTGGCTCACAAAATAGTTATTTCGTGTATTTTTTGTGATATATCTGAAGGAGAAGGGACAATGACACTATCACTGCTTCCTTATATTGTAAATAATTGATAAATGCACCATATTTATTTTTAATCATATAGAAGTTTGAAACTATTTATATTTGTTGTTTTTTCAAGAAACTGTACATAACTGTATAATTCATTCTAACAAAATATACCTTTAAAAGGGAAATTATTTCCATTAATTGGAGCATCTATAACTGCCAAGTGTAACATTTCCAGTCATTACTAAAGGAATTATGTAGTATTGCTGTTTAATCCCTAAATATTAGCCAAGACTCGTAAATTTACTCTATCTTAGATTTTTCAGATACTGATGGGAAAATGTTTTACGTCTCTGTATATAATTCTCATACAATCCACGACCTATTCTTGCATGTTACCTGCTTTGAAGTAATGAATTAATTAAAGAAACTAAAAGATAATAATTTATTTTCATTATAAGGTAAAACAAATTTATTTTAATAATTATTCCATGAAGTAAAAATATGTTATTAATTATTTACAAATCTGATCTTTATATTAGATGATAAAATTACTTATACTAAAACATAATTCAGTTTATGCTATTATACTTCCTCTATCAATGAAACAAACACTAGTTTATTTTGTCTAATTATACACAACAATGAATAATTTTTATATTAGTATTTATATTATTAAGAATAATTTCAACACTTTGAAGAAAAATCATAAAAAATATAGAATGTAACTGATAACTTAGGTTTATTTAAAGCCACAAAGTTAAGAGT